ATTCGAGGGATATCTCAAGAACCAAACAGGAGGTAGACGTAAATACGAAGTGAGCGAAGCGGACCGGATGTTTTCAAATAGCAGCTTAACCTACAAGAAGGTAGCGTTTCCTCGCGTGTGGCGTGCCTTCCTAACTACATCGTGCCCTAGGCTCTTGAATTGGTGGGAGAAGGAGAGGACTCCGGAGGTCCAGCTGACGACCAGTCTCGGATGTCTACTCCAGGCCTCACCACTGTCATTGTACCCCCAGCGCCGAGGACACAAGAACTGACCGCAGCACAGCAGAAAAAGAATAGAGATCGCGAGTACCAGCGGAAGAAGCGAGCAAACGCACGAAACGCGGCGACACCTATCAGCGAAGACGATAGTGTAACATCGGGACGGCGGCCTACGAAGAGAGCCAGATTGGCTGATGACGATTGAATCAAGGGTGAATTTCTTCACCCTCATGCTCATTACATATAGGGACATTGTGATTGTGTTTATGCTTAGACCGTCGTGGTCTCACGCACGTTATATAGGCGATTAACATTATGATTATGTGTACCATACATTTGTATCAAATATCTAGTGTTCCTAGAAAGTGCTTTGCACTTGCCTCGTCCATACCACCGCCGTCTGAATCTACGGCTTCAATACAACGCGACACTGCAATGATGGTCTTTGCCTCTTTTGCGTTTATCCACACTCGTCCATTCAACCCAGTCGCCGTCTCTAGCGGGAATTGTGCGCCGAGCATGGGGAGCAAAAAGTGTTTAGGATCCAGCAAACTGTTAAAACCATGTGACACGTTCAGAGCAAATGGATTGCTGAAAACTACTTACTGCCGACACATCTTGAGACTGCAGTGTACGACGAAACCACCTTTGAGCTCTCCGAACCCCTCCGCTTTACGGGTCTGCGCATCAAAACATTCTAGTTCTGGCTCCATATCCTTGTGCGCCAACGAGACGCGCGCATAGAGCAGAGACCCAACCTACATATTTTGGTAGTCGTCTGTTAGCATGCGTCTGTCTGCGATTCTTATGTTGAAATTCACCTTAAGATTAGGTCGATTCCTCTTTGTCGCGCCCTCGAAAGCAAGCCCATCTAGCGTTGCCATATGGGCTGCGCCAATATCCACCCGCCAATTTTCCCCGCTTCTTGCAATCACAACACCAATGACTGACTCTTGAGAAGCGGGTACATACTGGCCTTGCCTTGCTTCAGCAATTGTCAGTCCTTCAAAGGCGATTGACCCACCCGTCGCGCATTACTCTCTATCCACCATCTGCTTCGGTTTGCTGAGTGATTCAACTCGCCTGCACGAGTGGAGATAATGGACGACTTTCCGTCCGCGCTTGATAGTTGCAATAAGCCCGGCCCAAGTTTTAAGTTAACATGCTGCGCAGGCACTGCCTCACCAGGCAGGATAGTCGACATTCTAGTATCAGTGTATTTTATCGCGTATTACGATTGTGTTGCGATCCAAGCATAGATGTATGACAAAGTAGGTGGTCCAGAGCGCAGAGCGGTCGAAAACGAAGCGGAGAATCAAGCCTGCAGCGCGGATCTGAATCTTGCGATCCTACATAACCGATCAACAACTTGAATTTATGCAGTTTCAGCATCTCAGCATATTGAATTCAGGGACGAGACCGACCAAATCATATTTATCACCCTTCACGAAAAAAATCTAGTCTCCTCGTTCCTGATGTTTTCAGAATAACTCCAAACCCATCCTTTTGGGAAGACATACTCTCAGGTGGAAGTCCTGGGCTGACAATAAACTTCAAGCCAATCCAGCTTGGCGCCAGTGTCACTGGCAACAACTCCTAGCCTCTACGTCATTGAAAACTCGGTATAGGGAGCAAGAGAAAGCACGAGTATGATGCTAACGTGGTCGAGCAATAATTGATGAACCCAGCATACCCGCACTTTATTATGCAGCCGCCGAGTATCATACTAGATACTCATACAGCTGCCTACATATATATGTACAGCAAAAGAGCGAACGTCAAACATTTACCAAGGGAATAATATCCAGTCAAAAAAGCGATTGTTAAGGTCAAGAAGAATAAAAGTACCCGTATCCGTATCACGCAATGCAGTAGTGTTCTGATTTATTTGGGAATTACACCAGAGCCCGCAACTGCACACCGAACCTCATATAAGGCAGAAAGAATGATAATCTTGCTGCTTAGCCCCTCACGTCTTAGAAGAATAAGTAAGTAGTAACAAATACCCCGAGCGCGATGATGATGACCACTTGCAATGGCACACCCTCCGGCTGTGCGATCGGGTCCTCGACGTATGTCCCGACATCGGTCTCTCCGTCCCACGTGCTCCCGTCGTCCGAGGGAGAAAAAGGCCGACGTCGTCTCAGCTCCGATGTCGCGGTGAGCGTGGTAGGCGCCACACTCGGTGCAGGCATGGATGAAATGAGATTCCTCAGCCTTTCTATCTCTGCCTGCGCATCCTGGAGCTTCGCCAAAAGCTCCGGATTAGGTTCGGGGACGGGTATTAGACGTGCAGGTGATGCTGGTTGAGGAGGGGGGTGCACGTTGACATTGACAATCCCAACATCTTCCTCGGGGACCTCCTGCGATGGCTGTCGCTCTTCAAGACGGAGGGATGCTTCTCGCTGTGTGACGGCCGGAGGAGTAGATGGAGCATCGTGGTGTGTTTCTTCCTCCTGATGATGGATCCCACTGTCGCCACTAGGTCGTCGCACAGATTCGGCATGACCGTTCCCCGTTGAAGGATGTCCGCGGACAGTCCCATAAATCTAGAGTAAGGTAAGCCATTGGCGAATATTGAGTAAACAGATGTAGATGCATACATGACTTTGCTGTTCGAATACACTCATGCCTTCTTCCTCTTCAGGAACTGTCTGCCCTTCTGGTGGGAGATAAACAACTCGAATCTTCTGCGAGTGAACCTCATCCGTGTTGTCATTCCACTGTTAATATGTGAGAGAAGTAAGGTACGAAATCGATATTGGGACTTACAAGATCTTGAAGGGACATTGTCTCCTTTTCAGAAGTGATGGCGGTGCTCTGAATCAAAAACTTGTCTTTGCATTTGATATTGAGCGGGGGCTCCTCTTTCATCGCCTGTAACATGACTGATTGTAACTTCAGCGACTATAAACAACGCACTACATGCCAGGATACGTACCCTGCACCTCAACAGTCTCGCCAGGTTCTACTCTCCCCGAGTTGGGTCGGACACAATATAGCTACATTAGAATCACCCAGTCAGAGAGGTTATGAAGACATGTAAATGGACCGTGCAATCACCTTAGGCGCAGTTGTCTTGACCTTAAATGCGACCGGTTGCGCATTGTGGTTGGAGACAGTGAGGGACCGTTTGACGTGCTGAGTGAGGGGTCCTACGTGGTAGACCTATCAACGATTGTCCACAGCGGATGAAACGTTCACCAACGCACTATTGAAGCCTAAAGAGCTGCTCGGGTTGAGCGCGACGGACATTTTGGATGGAGAGGGGACGGGAAGAGGATAAGGCGCGAGCGTGCCCTGGGGTGATATGATGACAGTCCTCTGCCAGAATGCGCATGCGTGCCCCTGCGGAATCTACCGAAGCCTCACTCACGCCCGTCGCCTGCTGCCTGTCCTCCACACTTCAGGCAACCAACTCGAGGAAACATCTCGGTATCTATGAATTGCGTACAAATGCCTCGTGGTATATGCATGCAAGGATTCGTAATTGGGAAGTCGTGCCATTGGTAGGTGACTCACGGACCGATGAGACGTCAAGTCGCACGTACAGCCACCAGATCCCCGCCCATTTTCGTGCAGCTCGAGGACATTGTATATGAGACATTCTACGGTGTGCTTGTATGTAGTCGGAACCAAGCACGTAAAATAGTGGGGAAATCCAGATAGTAAGTTATCTCTATCCATTCCATTCATATTTCAGTCTGTTACGACCCAAATTCGAAAGCACTATGGGTCCTAGCCCTCAAGTAAGTAATGCCCCTTGTCAATTCTGTCTTTATCCGACTCAAGATTTCAAAATAAAATTATAGTTGACCATGCGTTTCTCACTGTACGCTGCGCGCATCATGCTAAATTCACATCGCAGATACAAGTGCAGGTATTGCGCTCGAGAAAGACTTTGAATCTGATACTGATTTGTCAGTATCCGTAAGAGTTGTGGCGAGTAACCCACTTTATCCAGCGACATGTCCGTCTCCCAAAGGTTTTTGTATCCTCCGTTTTAGTTTGTTTTGGGGCTGGTGGATCACTGACATTTCCCTGCTTTTCAACCTCTATAGCTACAGTCTCTTCTGGAGGAAGATACGCGATTCGAAATTTGTGCTGATGGACGTTGCCACTTCTGTCATTCCACTGTCGCGAAGGTAAGGAGTGGTTGAAACGACTGCGGAGATGCGCACCACGGAGTCACTGGGCGAGGGGTCTTTGTCGGTTGTGACGATGACACTCTGAATTAGAAATTTATCTTGACATTCGTCGTTGAACGGAGGATCGAATTCTCTCGCCAACATCATCACTTAGGTCAGTTTCAGCAATATTGTGTCGATTCTCTGAATGTCAACAAGCGCACCCTGCACTTCTACAGTTTCGCCTGGTTCTATCTTCCCGACGTTTGGTCGTATCCGATATAGCTGAAACAGGCATATCATTGGGAAACTGTGTGGGTTCTCATCAATATCCAAGCACCTTTGGGACTGTTGTCTTGATTTTGAACGCTACCGGTTGATCATTGTGATTAGTTATGGAGAGGGAGCGCTTGGTACACTTAGTTAAAGGTCCTGTGTGGTGAGCTATTCAATCATTGCCTCGGGGTACACGACATTATTAACATACTTCTGAATTCAAGAACTTTGTCGGGATGAATTGCAAGGGACATCTTAGCATGAGCGGAGAGAGAGAGCCCTTTAGGGCAGTCAGGCGAAGCATGTGTCGGAGTTATATGGTGACACCGAGCCGCGCAGTTGAGCCAACGTCACAATGGCATGCTGCTAGGCGTATGATTTTCAAGGAACCAGTTCGATGTCATGCTTTGGCGTCAGTACACTGCGTACACTCCATTGGGTGTATGTGGAGTATAGGAAACTATAGGAGTGAGTCTTTGTGTTATGCTACCAAAGTGAAAAAGCCTTGTAGTTCTTCAAAGCCATCTGAGGCTATAATAGTATGTTTTACTAATGTGCTATAGCGCCAACATTTGCAGCTATATTGTCCAAAGTGAAACAGGAACGAATGACATGCACTTAATTTCATTCACTGAACACATCACTTACCTCAACATGGCCTACGCCGCAAGGTGGACAGATATTGTCCGATTTGTGAGCCTCACGGATAGTACTACTTGCGTAGCACAGAAGGTCATCAATTCGCGCACTCTTTCTTTCGGAGGAAATTCTGATATTGATTTCTCGGGCGACATACTTGTGCGGCTCTCGTGGACTCGTACTACGTCACTATGTTTCAGGATAGTGTATATAGAATGTGATGATTCGGTGAATGACCAAGGTCTTCTTTGGCCGGAAATTATTCATATGATCACATGATTGCAAGGTTAACTATTAATTGCTACGTTCTCTTGATCTTGGTAGCAATGCCTTGTATGAACAAAGTGTAACCGCGCCCTGACGCGAATAACCCGGTCTGTGCGCGATGCAATTTGTCCCACAGTGATGGACAGAGGTACCACAAGAACAGGGAAAGATCGCGTAAAGAACCAACGCCTCGAGGACGATGACGTTGGAATGTAGCGTAGCGACCGCAATCAACGTTGTGGGTATCAATGAGATACGTGCAATTGCCCCGTGTTGTAATGCGTGTAGTGACTCGTGATCTAAATTATTGTACACTTGACGGATAGCAAAAGAATGGGATATCGACGTACTGCAGCTCAGCAACACAAAACCAAAGATCACATTATAATGAATGAGTAATGGGATGACTACTACCGTGATAAAGTTAACCAAGAGAGCGTCCATACGGGATCAGTATGATGCTGATCATTTCTTACTGAGGGCCTGCAATTGAACATATTCATAGTAGCCTCCCTTAAGAGCAAGGAGCTCGTCATGGGATCCTGATTCGCTGACCGCTCCGTCCTTGATGAAGTATCTAGAATATAGAGTGAATAAGAATGTGTACCGGGTCGCTTGCACAGCAAAAGTACTCACATGCAATCAGCGTTCTGGATGGTCGATAGCCGATGGGCAATGGCAATCGTTGTCCGGCCCTTCGCCGCTACGTCAAGAGCCTGTTGCACAACCTTTTCTGACGTTGAATCAAGTGCAGAGGTAGCCTGGTTTTTCTTGTCAATCATCTGTGGAATAGACTTCGAGTATGCACTTACCTCATCCAACAGCAAGACTTTCGGATTCCGAAGGAGGGCACGGGCGATGGCAATTCGCTCTGGTGATATAACGTGTGTCAGCGGCTATTGACAGATGCGAGCATCTGTACTTACGCTTCTGACCACCTGAAAGCTGAGAGCCTTTGCCGCCAACTTCCGTGTCGAAACCCCTGTCCCATAATTGTATCATCCATTCTTCACAGCGTGAACCTCCGAACTTACTGAGGCAAGCCCATAATGAAGTCTAGGATATTCGCTTTACGACAAGCATCTTCAATCTCTTCTTGTGTTATCTCAGAATCAGGCTTGGTAGCGCCGAGCAGGATATTGAATCGAATAGAACCCGAGTAGAGCGTCTGATGCCAATATTGAGTTCAATAAGACATTGAAGCTGAGAGTAGGATCACTCACGGGCTCTTGTGACACCAACGCGATGTGCTTGCGATATTCATTGACATTATACTCCGTGATGGGTTGATCGTCGAGCTATTGACGCGCGAGTAAGACACTGTCATCACTTACGCATCCAGAAACTCACGTAGACAGTACCAGAAAGGGCATCGTAAAATCTCTCAATCAGTTGGATGCTATTCATTTCGTCAGAGACACTACGAAGAGAAAGTTGCTGGGGCTACTCACGTAGTACTCTTCCCACATCCACTGGCACCGACGAGAGCGACATATGTTCCGGGCTCGACCGTGAGGTTCAAGTCACGCAAAACACGTACACCAGGGCGTGTAGGATATCGGAAGTGGACGTTCTCGAAACGGATGCGACCGGAAACGTTTTTGGGGGTCGCACCCTCAGTCGATTCAGCATCGATCTCAGGCATTGAGTCCAATAGCGTAATGATATCTGTAGCAGCACCCTTGGCCGAGGAAATATCAGGGACGAAAGAAAAGACGTTGCCAGCCTGGATAGCACTGAATGTTGTACTCTATAGACACGGATCAGCCAACAAAGTTTTATGGTCTGTCATTGTACACACCATGAGACCAACGAAAAATTGGAAGGTCGTGAATTCCTGCGTTGACACAAGGCGAGAGCCATACCAGAAAACTAGAGCGATAACAAAGAACGACATAGCCTGGGAAAGAGCATAGATAGCATTGGTGTAAACGGCCTTCTTGTTCGAATTTTGCAGGGGCTGCTCCAGACTTTCGCTATAAAGCCTTAAGCAATCTTCCTCCCGAGTCAACGAGGCAACGGTCCTGATAGCTCCAGCCGCTTCACAAGCGAGTTGTGCGGAATGCTCATGAGCTCTCTTGTTCTGCTGATCTTTCAAGACGACGACGCGCTACGGAGATACGATTAGATCTTGTAGTCCATGAAGCAAGCATGTTGTGCTTACAAGACGGATGTAACCAGCAGAGACAAGTGCAGGTGTGCAAGCTTATGGAAGCCGAATAAGAGACTGGATAGCGTAGCATCAAAAGGCTTACCAAGACCAACGAGTCCAATTTTCCAAGCGAAAGCGAGACCGATAACGGTTCCCGTGATGAGAGTGGCGATTGCCTGGACGATACTGGGAGTAAAAAGACATATCAACACAGGGACTAGAAGTCAGATGAAACGGCACGCACGCTCCCAATGTAACACCAGCTAGACCATTGACCTTCTGAGGATTATCGCTCAGGCTGGAGGTGAGTTGACCGGTCTTGACAAAAAAAAAGTTAGAATTATTAAGGATCAAACATGATGTTTATGATTCACATTGTTCTCATCCTTGTCAAAGAACTCGACTGCAGAATGATCAGCCAACTTGACCCCTATGCAGCTCAAATACTCACTATCTTGTCTCAGTATAGCACGGAAACTCAACGAGCGGATTTTGTTCGTCAGCTGAGCAGCGGTGGATGCGAAGAAGAAATTCTGGCAGCCAATTGCCATGGCAGATAGGATAGCAATGAGGAAAAACCTTTTAACAATGTCAGAGACAATCACAGTCGCAGGGCAACGACCACCAACCATAGCGCAACACGGTCACCGTCATGCCGGCGAACGCTCTCGTCTGTCACTGAGAAGCCGTTGATACCCTTGGCTGTGTAGAGATGAATATAAAAAATTAAAGTTCTGCTGACAATATACACACCATACACTATGCCGAACGCGGGGTAGGTGGCACCATTACCTGCAACCCGTGTGTGAAAAACGGCTACAGTCAATATATGAAGCGAATTTGAACTCACAGGCTGCAGCCAAGAAACCGCACATGTACATTTTCCAGTTCTCCTTGTTGATACCAAAGAAACGCCGAAAGATGAAAACCGCGCCGTAAGTCTCTTGGGCAGCTTCATCCTTTTCCTTTTGCTTCTGCTCTAAAATCTGGGATGCAAGCGACCGACCGGACTTCTCACGCGAAAGAGGCACTTCTTGCTCAGCTGCCTTCTCGTAGTCTTCCTCGCCCGGTTCGCTAGCCACGGTATCACTGTCAGACTCATCCGTAGAGCGCTTCTCTCGTGCTTCGCGCAGTTTCTGAGCAGCGACCAATCGCGAGTATGGGCCATTCTCGTCTTGCAGTAACTCGTTATGCGAGCCGGACTCGAGGACAAGACCGTCACCCATGACATAGATACGGTCGGCATCCTTGATCGTTGACAAACGATGGGCAATTGTGATAGTCGTCCGTCCAGCAGCAGCCTTATCCAGCGCGTTCTGTACAATACCCTCGCTCTGAGTGTCCAGGGCGCTGGTAGCTTCATCCAGGAGTAGAATCTTCGGGTCCGAGACAATGGCACGGGCGATGGCAATACGTTGCTTCTGACCACCAGAGAGCAAGAACCCACGCTCGCCGACCATAGTATCGTATGCCATCGGAAGCTTTGTGATAAAACCATCCGCATTTGCCTTGATGCAAGCTTCTTTGATGAGAGCCATCTTCTCGTCGTCTGATACATGTTCCCATTTGGTACCAATGAGACCGTGTGCGACGTTACCCTTGATGGTAGTTGCGAACAACGTCGGCTCCTGCGAAACGAGACCGATTTGACGGCGTAACCATTTGATGTTGAGATCCCTGACGTTGTGACCATCCAATCGGACGATACCGTCCAACGGATCATAGAAACGTTCCACTAGGGAAATAACTGTCGATTTGCCAGAGCCAGAAGCACCGACAAGAGCAGTCGTCTTGCCCGCAGGGAACGTGATGGAGAGATCCTTCACAATGGGAATATCAGGCCTGGAAGGGTAGCTGAACTTGACGTGCTCAAAGGAAATCTCGCCGACGCAAGACTCAGGCTTGGAACCAGCATCGCTCTCGGAGTCAATGGCAGGTACACGGTCGATGGTAGCAAATAACTTTGCCGCAGCTCCCATACCATGAGTAATAGCTACAGACAAGATCAACTAGATGCCTAAGGAGTAAAACGACAACACGTACCTTGCATCTCCGGGGCCAAGAGTGCCAGAGAGAAGGAACCAATCAGAATGGCAAGGATAACATTGACGACCTGACCAGCATCCCCTGAGATTACGAATGAGTATGAACAGACCAAATTTCAACAGCAGAATACATACCATGACCTTCGTTAATAAGCGTAGTGCCAAAATCGAACGCTTGATCGGGCTGATCAGTTTTTACTCAAGCACGTGGCTAAAACAGCATACCCAATGCATATCCTCCGTAGATGACAAAGAAGAAGCAAGCGAGACCACATCCATGCCATACAGCGGCCTTCATATCGGCAACGCGGGCCTTGGTAATATGCGTATCATAACGATCCGATAGAATTCTCTGGTTGCCGAATGCCTGTGCGGTACGAACAGTGGAAAACACTTCTTCCGCAAGAGTACCACCATCGGCAACATGTGCAAGAGAAAGTCTGTTTATAATTAACGCATAGGCATAGGAAATGAAAATGTGCACACTTACCGCATAAATCCAGACACAAATCTGTTCATGATACCACCGGTAAGAGCGATGCACGGGAGCATGGACGAAAGTGCGAGTGCCAGTCGCCAAGAACGGATGTATGCCAAAACAAAACCGGTGATGAAAGCAGCGAAGAAGTTTAAACAGATAGCGACCTTCTCTGATATGCCCTGTTGGACCAGATCTACCACCAGTCCATCAACCACTAAATCGCCCACTTATGCTAAGGCTCAATGACTTACGCGTGTCTGTCTGAATCCGCGTTGCAACCTCTCCCGCGCCAACATTGTCGAAGTAAGCAACATCCTGGCGAAGAACGGCTTGAAGATAGCGCTCGCGGATACGCTTGGCGTTGACCTCTCCGGTGTAGACCCAGGATGTCATATAGACATATGTGCAAACAAACATGCCAAGACCTAGGGCCCAGAATTGAGCGCGCTGGTCGATGAGAAGACTGGCAGTACGCACCAATATAGACCAGATAAGACGCATCATGAGCAGCAGTGTTACGGAAGTTAGCAGCGGCAGCATTGAGCTCCCCCTGACTAGTAGAAGTAGGATTCGCGTCGGCCTCTGCAGCTGTGGTGCCGAACGTGACGAACGCTTCCGTAAGGTTTCCAAAAATCAAACTCATGAGAGGCTATAAAGTCGATAATTGTGTCAATGACCATAGACAAATATAAAAATTCAACAAACTGACCTGAGCTGCGCCTGCTGCGACCGCGGCAAAAAGGCCGACGATATCCATCGCAATCTCGGATCTGGTAGAAAATCTGCGAAGACTGAGACGAAGTGATAGGGAAAGGACGACAGACATACCTGAAGAGCGAAAAGAATGACACGGGTTTAACGATCTCTGCAGCTGGTTTCTCTGGCTGCTCCTCATCCGGCCCTTTGGGGATGGCAGACACGGTTGATAATCTATGTTTCTCGTTGCTGGCATCGGCGGGGCTTTGCTGCCTGGAGAGATCATTCGCTTTATCCGGAGCGGTCATTGAGTAGCGACCTTCCGTGTCCTTCTCGTGGATAGACTCGACGATAGAGGAGGCGGCCATGGGCGATGAGCACCGCGGGGGTAGGTGCTACGAGCACAGGTCGCAGGTCGAGGACGGCGGGAGAGCGGGTTATGGTAGGGAAGGGAGAAGTGGGGCGCTTGTTCTGACGGAGGATTTGGAGGTGTTTATTTAATTCCCTCTTACGCGGCTCGGCGCGGTGGAACTCGACTCATGCAGACGTCAAGGCGTGGGGAGGGCGAGACGCGCAATCGCCCCGGCTCTGTCAATGGGCCCCGGCGCAGCGCCCCTCGTGGTCAGCCGGCTCGTTGATGATGGTATCCTCGTGTCAGGGTAAATAAGGCATTTTCTGCGACTGAAATGCGCAGAGGAGAGCAGAAAACAGAAAGACAGCAAACTCGCAGGGTGACGGCGGAGGCCTGGAGGAGCGGACAACGCGCCCCGCTTACGGCAATTCGTCTTACGCCTCGGCCCGATCCTGGATCTCCAACTCCGCGAACTCCTGTGTTGCCATTTCTGTTCGGTTCCTGGATCCCCCCAATCATCGCGATCTCGATGATTCCTCCGCACTCGCTGGCGAGTCCTGTGCGCCTCAAGTTTCAATCCACATCATTCGAGTCACGACGCAATATTTATATCTGACCAGACTGACTCGAGGCTCCATCAAACTTATCTCTCCTGTGCTCCGTTGTCATACTACGCGTCTCGTCTGCATGTCTGAATCTGCCCACGATACCATGTGGCGCGATAGGCTGTCTCACGCAGCAACGACCGATGTTCCGCCAGTCCGCGCAAGCATCTTCCCGTAGCTGCGCGTCCAAGCCAGTATGCGCGGTATGCGGTTTGTGTGCTTCCGGGTTATCAGAAACCGGCCCTGTGACTTCCACGACGCCATCGATATGCGCCCCGGGACCTTCGCCACCGTTCAGAATCCACCCGAGGCGTTAACGTTGTGCATTCACTATTGACAGGCCAATGATGAGATATGTTTGTGCTTCTATATGCGATCCCTTGCCCGGCGGGGAAATCTCCATTAGGCATTCTACACTCTTTATCACAGCTGTCCGCAAAACCATGTCTCAAAGCTGTTCTTGTATGCTTGGCCACTACGTTTGCCTGTGCACGCTACGTGAGGGCGTTTGGAACAAATTCAGCCAATTAGAAAATCTATCCAAATAATTTTGCTTGCTCAGATGACATGGGTCGGCATTGCATAACGTCCTGTCGACGCAACGGTCGTGCGTGCATACCTGTCATAAGTAGAGTGCGGATCTTGGCATCGAAGTTCGTTTCTGAGTCGAATCGACGGCATGAACATGGATCATTCGCAGTCGGCTTTGGAATAAGGCAGGAATCCCACATGTCCGTCTCTCATTAATCATCTTTGGGACCCAACCAAGTTGCGGTTGTGACTTAGGATGATCGTGCGTGCCTGAGCTTAAGCTATGGCAGCAGGAGGTACCTGGCGTGGTACTACCGCATCATACAGAAATTCTTGGTGTCGTATGGGGTCTATGTACTGTAATACGTATCTCAGAGCGTCATAAGCTGGGCTATCCGCATGTAGTAGCCTCACCTAAATCGGTGTACGGTACCAAAATCCAATTGGGTTTTCTACATGCACCAAATCAACATCAGCACAGTATACGAATAGCTCTCAGCCAGCAAAAGAGCCGAAAAATATAGGAATACCTGTGGTAGCCCACAGAAGCTTGCTTACATTCAATCATTGTTTTCACCCATCAAGTTATAATTCTCCGGAGTAGTCATCCTCCTCGCCGAGAGGTTCGGGTGTGAGACTCCGTTCGGCATCTCAATCCGGAGTCCGGTTGACTCAAAGATGGTTACATTCCCGGACGATTTATCTCTCCAGCCCTCTCTTCGACCTTCCTACTTCGGCCTCCTGGCCACCCGGGATGTAAACCCAAATGACGAAAGGCGTGTATATAGTCCAAACTCAGGTACCACTTCTATAGTCGCGTGCCGCACGCCAAATGGCGGAAATCTGCATCAGCTCAACAGTAACTCCTGCGTGTTGGGGGACTCAGGCCTGAGAGATAGCCTGGTGCGGAAAACTACCCGAATCAGGCATACAACAAGTCAGTGAGGGGTCCTGAGACGAGATTGACAAGTAAGTATTGTGCAAGACTATTGATCCTTGTGTCGCCGCTGAGATCCAAGGAGTCACCAAGTGGCTGGTAGTTGGGAGATGCTGTCGCGGGCAGAAATGAGAGCGACGACGTGGACGTGCAGGCCCAGACCGGCGCCTGCCTCTGATTACTACACCTGCCATACTAGGACGGTGGTCTGTGCCACCACCGACACGAGATCTTTCGCATCTTCACATACCACCATACCAACAGAGCTGTGCTCTGTCATTTCCTTTCCGTCCCACCTACAACCTCACATACCAAGCAGCATGTCCTGGCGAGTAGGCAAGAAGCAGACGAGGCAGCCTAGCAGCGCGCTCTCGATTCCCGACGAGCCTGCGCGGTCGACCACCCCGACGCCTGGCAACCCCCATGGCAGCCCGTTGTCGCGCTCTGGGATCCTCGCCATCCGCGTGTTATGGGCGGAAGGCTTGAATCTGCCCGGCGGCGCTGCGTTGCCGCCTGCAGTCCAGGCTGCCCTGTCTTCCCAGCAGGCTAAGGTCGCTGCGTCTGTGTCCCCCTCCAGTGTCACCCAGCACCGACTCGCAAATAGGCGAAGCAACCGCGACAGCGTACAACGAAAGCAGTGCTGGTGGCTACCGTATCTTGTCATGGAGTTTGAGGTCAATCAAGTATTGATCACACCGCTCGGAGGAGATCTGTCAAAGCCCTTGTATATGTATGAGACGCATTTGTAAGTTGTTTGCTCATCATGTGCTGCAGACTTTTCATCTCTGACACTCGCCTTGCAGCGATGTGTCGCGTCACTCGGAGATATCGATTCAATGTTACCTTCGCACGGAGGAGCCCAAGCGCGGCGGAGACGGTATTGCCGACGACATGGGCAACGATCTTTTCATGGGCGGTGTGCGTTTCGTCCCAGACTTCGATGACTTGTCTCCACAGGATCAATGGTACGAGCTCGTCAGTGGCTCTGGCAGGATCCAGATCGGGGTGGCATTCCAACCCAGCAGTGGCCATTCTCTGACTATCGATGATTTCGAGCTAATCACCGTAATTGGTAAAGGGAGCTTTGGGAAGGTCATGCAAGTGCGAAAGCGTGACACCTCACGGATTTACGCCCTGAAGACTATCCGGAAGCAACACATCGTCGAGCGAGGGGAGATCACGCACACCCTCGCGGAACGTATGGTTCTTGCACGGGTGAACAATCCCTTCATTGTCCCACTTAAATTCAGTTTCCAGTCCGAGCAGAAGTTGTATCTCGTGCTCGCATTCGTCAATGGCGGCGAGCTTTTCCATCACTTACAACGAGAACAGCGTTTCAACGAGGAGCGAAGTCGGTTTTACAGTGCGGAATTGCTTCTGGCTCTAGAACATCTCCATGAGCTCGACGTAGTGTATCGTGACTTGAAGCCCGAAAACATCCTCCTGGATTACACTGGCCATATCGCGCTATGTGACTTCGGGCTGTGCAAACTCAATATGAAGGATTCGGACACAACCAATACGTTCTGCGGAACGCCTGAATATCTTGCACCCGAGATTTTGAACGGCCAAGGTTATAGTAAGTCATGCATCTCTCATTCATATATGTTGTGACGTTCATATCACCCGTCAGACAAAACAATTGACTGGTGGACGCTGGGAGTTCTTCTGTACGAAATGCTGTCTGGACTGCCTCCGTTCTACGATGGTGAGATTTGTTCTATCCTGCTCAATGACCATGTGCTGATTTGATCTGTACAACAGAGGTCACCGATAAGATGTATCAGAAGATCCTCCATAACCCGCTGGTTTTTGGCGACGAGATTGGTCCTCAAGCTCAAAGCCTCCTCACTGGGCTCCTTACACGCGATCCGGCCTACCGTCTCGGCGTTAATGGAGCAGACGAGATTAGGAGACATCCGTTTTTTGAGAAGAACATCGACTTCAAACGGCTCTTGCAGAAGAAGATCCAGCCGCCATTCAAGCCCAGTGTCTCCAGCCCAGTGGTGAGTGCCTTAGGAGGTATTAATGGTCAGGTGTTCATTGCCCCGTCGTTACCTAGGACGTATCCAATTTCGACACGCTCTTCACGGCTGAGGCACCTATGGACAGTGTGGTGGAAGGATCTCAGCTATCGGAGACAGTTCAAGCGCAATTTGCTGGTACGCCTATCCCCCTAATCTCTTTCGAGCTGTTACCTATTCCTCCACACAGGTTTCTCGTACGACGGCACCAACATGCCTGCCAGCCCGTGATCCCCATATACTAGTTCCATCATTTTCATACCTCTCATTTCCCGCATATCATGCTACCCCTACATATTTAGATCCCCACTCGTTCGCTAGTATTCGCCTGCATCTCGGAGTCCCATAGTCTTGAATATTGTCCTTCGTTATCTTCGCATTTGTCGTTAGTGTTACCCCCGCAATCCTTGCTATATCTACGGATATCCATATGTCGCTCGTTATAATGTTACTTACTGGAGTTGTACTGCTACAATGTGTTTGACCTCAATGGAGACACTGCTTTTCTCCTACTCTGTCCAAGATGCATTGTAACATCATCACCTCACTGTGAGCTTGAATGATTCCTCCACGAAACTCCGAATAAAGACCAGCATGGCACAGTGAAAATGCTATCTGCAAATCACCATCGGGGTGTCCACAAGATATATAGCATAATCATACATCTACTTACAACGGGCCGTACAAGATCAATACCAATCAGCTATCGTTCAAACTAGCAAGCAAGCGTCTTCTGCTTTCCGCCTCCGCCTTCGCCAACCTTGCAAATCCCCTTGTTCCCCGCCCAATTACCTTCTTCATTCGGCGCATCTCCTCGTTTGCGCGAATGTGGGAAGCCAGAGCAGCCGCATTGTGAGTCACCCGCTTCTTTGAAGCCTTGTATGGGCCAGTAGTCTTAGCCTTTAGTCCAATACCGAGACGATCGGATTTCAGTATCGTTGGGAGCGGTGTCAAGAGCGCGTTAGGATTGTGAGACGGTGGATCTACGGCAGACGAGACATCATCAAAATGCCTGCCATCATCGTCCTCTGCAGCCAGATCTTGGTCTGATTTCATGGCCGGTTCGTTGTCTTCAGAGTCAGAAAACGTTAAGTCGATAACGTCTACTTGCTTAATCTCCGTAACATCGCCATCGGGATCCCACTGAACCAATCGCTCTTCCTGCTTGACACCAACCCCGCCATCCCCTCGCTTTGGGCTCTTCTGCCGCGCCTTGTTGTGAGGCTGAAAACGGCGTCTGACACCTGGACCAAGTGGTTCACCCTCACTCCATCCGCTCTGCTGCAGCATAGCAAAGCCCTTGTTAGAAGGTCCAAGCGTCAGAAAAACTGGGGGAGTGAACGCCTCCTCCTTTGACAAAGGTGGGGGGTCTCTGGCGAGAATATCTGCAAGAGTCTGGGTGGGTGTCGAACAAGAAGTAGCAGGCTCTGACCGTAAGGCGCGGGCTATGAACCAATTGCTATTATCTTGTCGCTGTCGTGGACGGGGAGTGGAGGTAGGGGCAGATAGGCCAGAGACTAGGTGAGAGGGTAAAGGTGAATTGGGGGCTGTGTCCAGAGGAGGTCCAGGAGGGAAGCTGGCGCTCCGAGTCAACGACCTATACCAGCTGCTCACATCGCGAGGAAGTTCGTTGACCTGAGGAAATTGAAGAGTTGCAGGCATCCCAATCATTCCGTTAATTTCATCGTAGGAGACAATTGCTGGAACAAATCGAGGTGCGCCTGCAAGTCGACGACGGGCCCCCAAGGACGACTCGATCTGCCATGGATCTGTTTCGTTTGTTTCTAGTGCTGATTCTTCCTCATGCACTGGAGCAGTAGATTTCGCAGGAGTATAGTGGGAGTAGATGTAGTGAGCGACAGTAGCCATTAGAAGAGATGATCACGGAGTCGCGACTCGCCGTCCACAAGTGTTGAAGCAACCAATTGCCTGATGACATGATAATTCCCACGCCACCCAGGTAAATCAGCGAGAAGAGCCAATCAAAATTAAAATAAACCATTATTATACGCACCGTCGCTAGGTCGTTTCGTAATGTCGCATTCACTACTACAGTACTCATGTCCATCAGGTCATAAAGGAGGAAACGAATAGCAATGCGAGGCTGAAAGCAAAAGGCGCTAGGTGATACATCAGGAAAGAGAACAAACTGGATAGAATGGTGGTAGGGGTATATAGTACGTTAATGAAGCAAGCAAGTCACAAGGCGCGAAAGCCGATAGCAGAGATCACCGCAACTCACGACAGTGCCGTCTCACCCCAGAATCCCTTCACTGTTTCGCATTTCACTTCTGCCACATACATACGCAGCCATTGAACCATCTCCTTGCTGATCTGATGACAACGCGTCAAGTCTAGCGAATCCAGCCGATGGGGTATACCCAGCGATGCAAGAGTACCATTCGTCGGGGGCGTCACGGGTATGCGAGACAAGATACTGGCATGAGTAGCAAATGCTGACGCCGAGGATGCAAACTTCGGTTGTGGAGTATTAGAAGTAGAGGTGTTCAGAGCAGTCCTTGGAGGGGAGAATGCGCGAGATTGTGCGGGTAGACGAGACTCTACAAAGGAGCGTAATGATTCCCAGTCAAGGGCTGTGCAACCCTCCAGACCAACATGCGTAAGTTTGGGGCAAATCCATGTCTGTGAGACAGCTGGATGGGAAACACTCTTGGGAAACACCGTCAGATTTAACACTCAAGCCGCCGAAAATTTGGCACAACGGACCTTGAGAAGATTTGATGACACATCCTCCATGTCTACAAATTCCAACGAGGTCAGTGAAGGCAGGCGACGTAATAACCGGATGAGTCTTAGTTCGTTGAAGAAACACGATTCAATCCGAAGATGGCGGAGGGGGAGGCGAGTCAGTGATTGACGTTGTAAATGCTCTATCAGCGGCGACACATTATCGAGAAAGCATAACTCGATCCGCTCTAAAGCAGGAAATGAGAGCAGTCCAAGAATTGTCCTCGTACGTAGGTTGCCGCAATAATAGAAGGATATCTTTGCTAGATATGGCAATTGCACTGTCTTCGTATCAGATACTCGCACCAGTGGCCCCGGTGGACCTTCGTGGTCGAACAGACTCGGCTTCGATACCGAATATGACTCCAGGTCAACATCCGACATGTTACGCAACGCAAGCTCTTCCAGTTGTGGACACGCGCGAAGAACTTCAAGAAGAGTATCAAGGGAGGGCGCCGCCGAATTCCAATACCCTCCAAGTTTGAGAATGCGCAGCCGGCTAACAAGGCCGAGATCCCAGTTGAAATTGAAGGACGTGAATGAGCACCTCCGGAGACGTGGGGTCCGACCATCAAACAGTAGTGGGAGCGGATTCGAGAAGTAATCCTCCTGCATGGAATGGCAGACACGCACTGAAAGAACTTCGAGCAAGGGGGCACGCTCCCGACAACGCGCCAATGATGCATGGGCCTGTGGTCGATTGGGAACAGTAAGATGAAATGTTTTCCATCGCCAGATTGAGGGGCGCAGGAGATCCATTGCATAGACAAGAGACTCTGTGGCAACACTTCCGTACTCCATGCGCGGACTGAAATCCACAAATACGTGTAGAGGGACAGACTTCGATCGCTCGAGCTTGAGTCGAACCCTCTCAATCGAGTGGTGAGTACCTGCTGCGATGCGCGACCAAAGGACTGGCGTGTTAACCGCTACACCCCGCCAATTTCGACAGACGAGCATCATGTTGGATAACAAAAGCGAATTTTCCTCCTCCCTCTCCAATACTCCGATCTCGAAAATCGCCGAAAGAAGCTCGTCAGGTAGGCGCTGAATGGGTGATTGCAATCGAACGGCCTGCTCCAATCTCGATTCCAGCAATTCGCGTTCGCTCAATAACGACGCCATCTTCGATTCCAGAGTATGTAGAGCTTCTCGGAGATGAGGGATCGATAGGTTAGGCGTAATAGTTCGTGAACGGCTAACCACTGAATTGCGAACAATGGCACTAGATGGAGGAATGACGTCTTGCACTCGCGAGAACGATGGCAACTTTGGTTCCAGAGTACATGGCGTAGTCATAGCGATAGCGGTTGAGTATGTGTCGTGAAATTCGTAAGGAGGGGGCGGTGTCTGCTCGGAGGATCTTGAATACACAGAGGAAGTCCGTTGGCGCGAAACGTCGATGACGACAGTCATGGACGACGAAGATGTCCGGACTGGTTTGTGAGAAGTTGAGGATTGTAAAAGAGATGTTCGCCGCATAGCAGAGTATGTCAGGAAATCGGTGGTAGCAGTATCGTCTGAGATATGACCTTGTATTGTCCAAGGAAGCGATGCAATGACGCAGCTTTTCTAGCTGGCTATGGGACGCTCAAGACAACGCCTGGCAGTGCGGGAGTCGGGTTCGCTTCGCGTTACAACCTGAAACGATGATGACGGGCGTCATAGCTCTGCAGTCAGGACAGGCGGTACATAGTCGTGGCAGAGTGTGTACTCACCTCGACATATAGGCCCTATGCGCTATCGTCCGAGCAGGTATGGACGCGAGGAGGTATGAGGGAAGGGCAAGCCATGAAGCAAGACTATAAGGCGAGCGGGCGATCTGACATTGATAATGACTGAAATTCTTTGTGGGCTGGATGATGGGCGAGCACGAGGCTGGGAGCATGCCCAGTCCAAACGGTACACGCCATACGAAGTGTTTAGAGCTGACCTGCAACGTGGGACTTCGAACAACGGCTGGCAACACGAGGGGAGGAACGAGGCACGAATGGCTGCAAAGTTCGTACACCCATCACGCTTCGGCTCTCCAATATTTACCTCTTAGTCCCACACCGGCTCGGCGAACGAACCAAATTCCATTAGACTTCCCTTATCGCGCCCTCATTCCGGACCTCGCAGCGGCTGCAGTAAGCTAGGCCATCAGAATATGTACTCCGTGTCGAGGTCCCCATGAACAAGGTGGCGGCCTAGTACCCAAACATTGTTATCCAGAGCGCTCGTTGCTCTTTACTAAACTAAAATATATACAGCCATCGATACAACTTTTTAGAGCGCTCCGCCTTTACGACATCCTTGCTCGAGCATTGCGTTTTTGCACGGCTCGGTAGTAGACAAATTGACAAAGGACCTATGAGCCAACCGTCAACACGCCACACTGCGGACATCAGGCAGGCCGATTACTTACAAAGACATCGAGAAAGACGGTCAGTGCACTCCCTGAGCCGGCAGCTTGGATCAGCTACTTATTGTTACGACATGGGTGTTTGCTTACCTGCCAACCAGGACGCGTTCACCGTGAGATGCTTCGCATTCATTGACACAGTCAAAATAGAGAGCACATATGTTGTATTCCCTGTGATTGAGTATATAAACAGGAAGGGTGAAAGCCCTTCACATTTGGACTTGAAATTTTTGACTAATTGCGTACAACGCATTTAACCCATCATCTCAGCGAATCGAGCGATTTACTCACCAATCTGGGGTACGCGTGCGCCCACTTCTACCGGTGAGATCGAACATTTAGCTTGATGGTTACACTTACAATACATGGCGGCACTAATCCATCCCAAAACTTGGCTTCTCCATTCGATAACCTCCTCTTTGGGCTTAGGGCGAGTCTGGCCTGCGTAGATGAAATCATTCACCGCCCACGCTGCAACGCCGACTGCAAATACAAAAAGCAGGGCGCCAGCATATCGCAGGAATTCATGAAGAACCAATGCTTGCGCCTGCTGCCCTGAGTCAGCGTCATCACCAGATAGCAGTGGCGTTTCTTCAGAGAGATCTGAGATTATGGAAGCTTCTGGCACGAGGACAGGCGTTTCCGCTGATTGTGGATTCGTCCAGCGATAGTAATATATTTGAAGCAAAAGTGTAATATCGCATGCCGAATACTGTGGAAAGACTGTCATGACGGACTGTAAGGTAAAGCTACTAGCAAACTTACATAGACCGCCAGGATGATTATTGTAGGCAATAAGTGAGCTAGTATTGCGCCTGCAAGATTGCAGATATCTCCAACCAACCAAATTACCACGAATAATACGCTCAAGCCTTCGCCGGACTTGAGTTGATAATTTTCGATGATCTGTGGTGTATATACCACGAGCCTGCGCAAACCGCTGTCAAAGACGAAGCAGTACGGCAACATTGAAGAATTTGCCTCACCAGCATGCGATAGAAATCCAGCCCAGCTAAATCATCCGCAAGAGTCAACAAAATACCACCGAAAGCTGACAACCAATCCTGCGTACAACGTTACTTAGGGTCTCGTCTCCACTGACATCCATTGTACGTATAAGAGGTACCATACTTCTAAACGTGCACTTCTGACACAGCAATGAGAAAAAAGATTTCGAGGATCTCTAGAATTGGTATAGCAGCGTGTCAACCCCTGGTCGAGACTCGAAACCGAGGTTGAAGCTGAATCTAAGAGGTCTTGCACAGAGGAATTGATTGAATAGAAGAGCACGTGAGGCATTGGTGGTGATTGCCGGCAAATTCCGGCTGCCGAACCTCTTGGTCGTCCGAGTGGTCTCTGTCACCGGCGTTACTGAAGAGGTCTCCCAAGTCTTCCACCTCCTCAAAGACAGGATGAACGGTCAGGAAGCTTTCAGGAGGCTAGCTCAGCAGCTACAGAAAGCAAGTGCAGGAGGAGGCGGAGGTGGAGGCGGATCTCGGTTTCCCAGTGGAAAAGGTTTCACAGCAGGTGGCGGCTTGCTGATCGCTCTCGTGGGTGGTGGTCTTGCGCTCAATTCAAGTTTATTTAATGGTGTGGTTACTTTTGTGATTCTTGGTTTTGCAAAGCTCATCGGCTGTGCACAGTTGATGGTGGTCACCGAGCTATAAAATATACTCGGTAAAGCACAATGTCTAATGCTCTGCTCCAAACCTGAACAACTTCCCAGACTGGACGGTGTCAAGTCGACGGTATATCCGGAAGGGACGCATCTCATGGTGATGTTTTATCGTTATGTTATAGTTGTGGTATCTAATTCTTGCTGTAGGTCCCATGGTTTGAAACTCCTATCGTCTTCGATATCCGTGCGAAGCCTCGCAACATTGCTAGTCTTACTGGCACAAAAGGTCCTTTTTTACCTTCGGTGTCTCATTTCCGTTTACCCAAGTTTTGTCGAACATGTCAGATCTACAAATGGTCAATATTACATGCCGTGTGCTTTCAAGACCTGACATCCAGTCGCTGCCCACAATATATCGTGAGCTAGGTACAGACTACGATGAGCGGGTATTACCGTCGATCGTCAACGAGGTCCTAAAGAGTGTAGTGGCACAATTCAATGCCAGTCAACTAATCACACAACGGGAAATGGTTCGTCATTATCACGGATATTTCCTCGAGTGGCGAGACTCACTATGAGCGTCTTATGCTTAGGTATCGAGGCTCGTTCGAGAAAATTTGACACGTCGCGCACTGCGCTTCAATCTTGTCCTCGACGATGTATCCATCACGCATGTTGCATTTTCTCCTGAGTTCACTCACGCGGTGGAGGCGAAGCAGGTATGCTGGGCTGATTCATCTATACTCATCATCTCATTCTTGGCAGGTTGCACAACAAACCGCCTTCCGTGCTGCTTTCCTCGTCGATCAAGCAATTCAAGAAAAGCAGGTCTGTGTTTGCTCTCCAGCCATGCAAAACCGTCACTGAAGTACAGGCAGTCTATCATTGTTCGTGCTCAGGGTGAAGCTAAGAGTGCGGAATTGATTGGAGAGGCCGTTCGCTCGAATAAGGGTTTCCTGCAACTGCGACGGCTGGAAGCAGCGCGCGATATAGCGAACCTTCTAGCTGTGTCTGGCAACAAGGTCATGCTTGATTCTCACAGTTTGCTCTTGAACGGTAAGTTTTGTTCTTTATACGTCTATATCAGATGCGTTTGGGTTGATTGTTTGGGTTGCTCTCTACAGTCGCGGATGATTCGGACGATCTGCTTCACTTCAAGAAGAAGTGAGAGCTTTTGCGCGGACTTTCTACTCTGTGTTCAATCCGTGCACTTTGTACCTATCTCCGTTATTGTTTTGGAATGCATTCTGGTCCTTCTCAAGCTCTTCTTTATAGGATCTACCGGGAGTATCTTCGAAATAATATTGATTTGCAGTTGGACAGATCATGTGACCGCTTCGGTGCAATCTGGACAGTGGACGCGTCGCGTGTACTCACCGCCGTGTATTCTTTCCTTTATCTGAATTAGCCACATCCACCCCCCCCTTTAAGAGATCATGCCCAGACAAAAGCATGCTCCTATATCTAGATCCCAAACAAATGCGAAGCGCAGGCGTGTTGGGACAGAAGAGGACGTTCAACCGGGGGGCATTGAAGATTCGCTGAACTCAAGCACGAGTCGTAAAAAGGTTCGATGGGGTGGCGACCTTGAATCATCCCTTGAGCCATCTGAACTTTCGTCGGAGGGAGGTGACAATGAAGGAGATATAATGGATAAGGTATACTGCCATTTCGTTCAATGTATTTCGCGCTGCCGTCTAACATCATCAAGATGTGCCTAGCTGCATCATGCCAGTTGTAAGTTATGTAATCTCGACAAGAATATTCATAATTCACACTCTCCGGGTCAGTGGTCGCATAGGCTGTGCTTATTATGATCCCGTGAAGTGTACAATTTTTGCGTTCGAAGATATGCAGGAGAATCAACATTACGATCTCGCCAAAGCTCGTGAGTCGTCAAGTTCTTCGGACTGCAATGTATTATCTGAGATCTATCCAGTCTTCGAGCAATGTAGTCCCAACATTGCCATTACAAGCTCAAAAGCAGACGAGAACTTCATAGACGTTCTTCGTGACCACTGTACGTAATTAGGAAACCGGCATTGAGTGATGCTCAAAGCTGCTTCCAGTGGATGCATCCGGCGGAATATTCCAGATAAGACCTCACAAGGACTTTTCACCCGTCAAGGGTCGCGATCGCATCCTTTCCCTACGTCTGCTTTCTGAGTTACCTATGGACGCCGTCCATGATTTCGGGTCGTCAGATTCGGACTATACTTCTGCACCGAATGCATATGACTTTATGAGGCGAAGGAAAGATATAGGAGGCGACCCAACTCTGCAGAGATGGAACGCATCTATCCGATTATCCAATTTTGCTTCTGTTGACGGGGCCCCTTTGTGTGTAAGTCTCAGTGCATATATGCGGATGGTCTCTGTATTTGATTACGCCTCATTCTAGTTGGGTTCGATCGGTGCGCTTCTGGACTATTTGGCTCGTGTGCGCGCTGTTGAAGATCTGGAAAACGATGGGATTGGCGGCCTGGAGATTCGCGCGATTGAGACTTTAGTTCTTTCGCAGGCTATGCAGATCAATGCGGATGCGTTACATTCACTGCAAATATTCGAAGAAGAAAACCATGCATCAATTCATTCAGACAAGACCAAGGAGGGGCTATCATTGTTTGGAATTATCAATCATACCAAAACGTCACTCGGTCGTGCGCTCTTACGTGAATGGTTCCTTCGTCCCTCGCTTTCACCTTCTGTGATTGCTGCTCGCCATGATGCTGTAGCATGTTTCATGCGACCGGATAATCTCGCTATTATTGATTCGATGCACGGTAGTTTGAAAGGCATCAAAAATATTCCCCGGATGCTGGGGACCCTGAGGACCGGGAAGGCCAGGTTATCAGATTGGCAGGGCATCATGAAAGTGCTTGACGCCCTTTCGCTTGTGGATTCGTATACTAATTGCCTGTGCCTGTCTTCAAGTTCACGGTTCACTCCCTCATGCTGCGGGAGGCGTTGGTAGGGTTGCATCAAGCCAATGACATCGAAATCGTAAAAAAGGTCAGCACCGAATGAGTACAGGTTTCAGTTGGCTGACGGAACCTGGTAGCTGCTTGATACCCTCGATACTGTAACTTTTCGAGACATAGGGAATACGATTAACGGAACGGTTGGCTTGATCGTCCTGGTCATATTGAATGTCTGTTATTGTTGATATATAGATTGACTGGGAAGAATCTGCAAATTCAGGACGCATTTGCGTTAAACTTCATGTGGACGAAGAACTCGATAAATTGAAGCATATTTACCACGGGATCGACGCTGTCCTGGTATATATCCTACCTAACTACCGTCAGCCTGTCGCACTGACCTGTCAATCAGTCAAAAGTAGCACAACAGATTTCTGTGACTGTGCCACCAGACTACGCGTCTTCTCTAAATGTAGTATATTTTCCACAGCTAGGTATCAAATCTGTCTCTCGATTATATGGGTATCCCAACATTATCACCAGGGTTCCTTGTCTGTGTCCCATTGTTAGAGGAATGGACAGCTGGAGATGGCATAAAGGTTCTGGACGGATGGACGTTTCAGGTACGTGTGAGTGTGGTCCTATTCTCGCGAAAGGGAACTTATAAGCGTTGTAGTTTTCATCCGAGTGCGTTTTTTCTCAGCTTTCATATTCTGAATCACAATCGATTCTTATAATGTTGAGAAGATCACATGTCTACTTTAAATCTCAAGAAATGCATGGTTCATCATTTAAATACATTTTAAAGCCACGGCCGACTTATTTTTACAGATATGGACACGCATATTGGTGATCTACACCCGTCTATCGTAGGTACGTCATCAACCTGTATCACCACTCGAATGTTTACAGCTGACACGTCCTGCTTAGATAGGGAGATAGAGATCGTGCAATCTCTCTCAGAGAGAATAATGGCCTCCAATGTGGTCATGAGTCATGCGTGTGATGTATGCGCCGAGCTAGACTGCTTGCTCTCGTTTGCCGAGGCTTCTCGTGCATACAACTTCACTCGCCCACAGATCTCAGAGCAAAACGTCATTCACATCAAACAGGGCCGGTACGAACAAACTCAGGATGCGCTTCAGCCGTACTTATGGTGTAAAATATAGACATCCTTTGCAAGAGCTTGTTGTGGACACCTTCGTGCCTAACGATGCTTTTGTAGTGGGCGGAGCAGGTATCAATGCGGCAGCTGAGGGCTACATCGATCAAAATGAGTCGGAAAAGGGGAACAGTATCATCGTATGTACTGGCGCGAATGCCTGCGGCAAGGTACTTGTTCATTCTCCATTACCAATCTCAAGCTTCACTGAATAACGCTGCAGAGTGTCTATCTGAAACAAGTTCGTATGGTTGATTATCGCTCGGACCTACTTTTCAACTCGGTTTGCAGGTCGCTTTAATACAGTATATGGCTCAGGTATGCCTTCATATGACCAATCGTCTAGCACTTCTTGACGACGATACCACACAGATAGGATGGTATGCGTCCCCAGCAACTACGAGTATTCCTTATCTGAACGTGTCACAGCTTTGTGCCTGCTGATTCCGCCACTCTTGGGATCGTTGATAAAAGTGCGTCTCACGCTGACTAGTAGCGGTAGACTGATTCAATCATTGCCTCCAGTCTTCACTCGCATTCAAACCCGTGAATCCGTGTCTAGAGTAAAAGCAAAATTTTGCCTGAGAAGCAAAGACATTGACTGTCTTCGTGCATTAGGTCCAGTCGGCTTTCATGATCGACCTCAATCAAGTCTCGCTTGCTCTGCGCAGCGCAACGGCAAGATCACTCATTCTCCTGGATGAATTTGGCAAAGGAACTCTGTCTGCAGGCTCGTATCGCACATGTTTGCTTTTCTCGCAGTTCTTACATTTACCTTATTGTCGTGCCCCTTCATCTCCCAGACGGCGCCGGCCTCTTCTGCGCCGTCCTCAAACACCTCGCAATGCGCGGCTCCGGCTGTCCCAAAGTCTTCGCAGCAACGCACTTCCACGACGTTTTCACCGACGACCTGCTCTCTTCCAGATCACTCCCCATCACCTTCGTGCACATGCAGATCATGCTGACCACGAGCCGAGGGCACCTGGTGACCGCTAGTGGACTTTCCGCAGATGAGGATCCATCTGACACCGACGATGGGTCAGACTCAGTGCAGGCTGGAAGCAGAAGAATCGCACCTGGGGAACGGATAACGTATCTGTACCGGTGCGGTTAATGGACTGCGGTCCACTCCAGTTGATGTTAAACCGTTTCATGCTGTGTAGGGTGGCGAACGGCTTGTCTCTCAACTCGCACGCAGCTCTTTGTGCAGAAGTATCCGGTATCCCGCGACGCGTTACCAAAAGAGCGCAATATGTCAGGTGCGCCACCGTTCTCCTCTTGTAACAGCTTAGTATACATTCTCTCTCGATGCATCAGCAACTTGCTATCATCTCATGAACTTGGACGACTCTTGGACGAAGATATGACCGAAGACGAACAAAAAGACCTGGAGAATGCTGAGGACGTTTGTAGGCAATTCCTCGCTTGGGACCTCACCATGGATAGAGATCACTACGACGGAATAGGTGACGTGAAGCGGATGCTCGCTGACGTTCTTGGACCCTGAGTGACCTTGTGGACATTGCCATGCCTCGTCTCTCCGATGAATACATAGTGATAGATTGCTCACCCACTTGTGGATAGTACAGACAGCCCTACCACAATTGACGGCGTCTACAGTATTAGCGTGGACCTGAAGCCCTTTAAGTACTCTATAGACAAGAGCGTAAGCTATACAACATGCGGCTAAGGAACGTCCGTTCAGTCCGAGACATCTATCTGGAAGATACCATAGGTGAGCTCAATATTTTGATTTGGTCTCCTTGTGGATCTCTAGCCCCGGTGGTGCCCCGAGCATGTCTTTGATTCCACCATACAGCAAGAATTGACCAGACACCAATCCTGCTGTCATGATCATCCTTGGACCCAATCCCGCAAACAGCCCACGCACGCCAGCTTCGCGTGCCAGAGTTACAAGCCGATAGACCATCGAACCCGTGGGTCCATGACCCTTGTTAATTTGGGAGAGAAGAGTGTCCGCAGGCTATGTGTCACCAGTAGCTCGGTGTCAGCGTCGTACAAACATGATAAAAGGCGAGGGCGAACCTGACTGAGGATGGCGGCAGCGAAACCGGCGATGACTCCGCTCCCCAACGAGATACCGAATTTAGTGCTACCGCTGAGAGACCTTCGTTTCTCTTCGGACATATTACGGAATACAAGTTCATGGCAGAATTCATTCACCGTGAACTGTCCAATCGCGTATGGTATTTGTCTATAAGGTTCATGGGTAAGAAAGTTGAGGTGAGTTGTATATCGTCAATCAGATGGGGCGAGGTGACGTACTTGCACAGAATGGGAAGGAACCCAGCGTATAAGCCCTGAAATCCTTCCTCTCGTGCCAAGCGCATGAATCCGGTGGTGAGACCGGTTGCATAATGCCGCTCCGAGACGAGGCGGATACGTGTTGCCTCGAGTGGGGTGAGCAGAATGTCTGCGAAGAATCTGCACAAAGTACATCGATATCGTATACCACAACGTAGAGGGAGAAGACGCACTCAGCCACACTTGACGCGCCAAGATATATCGCAGTACGGTGAGCCACTGCAGATTCTTGGCTCCCGGCGATCTCAACGAACTGCTTCTTCCAGAACTCGTATCCCGCGAACTTGGCGCCACCCTGAACACGCCCCAAATTGGATGTCAATCAAAGCAGAGTTACTTCACAAAATGCATACGTGCCTGTACAAGGTAGCCGACAGCAGTGGGGCCAAAGCCGGTGAGTAGTGCGCCTGGGCCCTCAGCTGCTACTATCAAGCGGCCTCCCGAGAGAAGTGAGTGATTTTTGAGTGCTGGGTCAATCTGGATGCGCGTCTTGACGACATCAATTGCTGCAGACGCAATATCTCAACGCGGTGCTCATCGATGATCCGGAGAATCTACGTACGCGTCATACCGCCATGGGTGACACTAGGCAGTGGTGAGATCAAGGTGCCAGTGCACATGGTACTAGTTACGACTTACGTGCAGCATAATGCACCTGCGAGGAAGAAAGACGAGTAGTCTTTCGATGTAAACTGAGGTACAGCAAACGCGGTGGACATTGTCCTAGTAGGGATCTGGACGCGTAATTCTGGTTTGGGAGTCGTCTCGGTCGTCGCGGTCGTGGTGAGGGGTTAAGTTAGTATCTAGCAGGAGCCCTGCTAGGGGTATCGAATACGGGAAGTAAGCTATGTTCTGAGAGAGGGTTAGGAGGGGGGGAGCTATATAAATGGGTGGGTTGCGAAGACACGGCCGCGCTCGGGGAAAGTGTCAGAACCCTGACAGTGATAGGTTGATTGTGCCCCACGCCCTCTACTCCGAGTCCTCGCGTTGCCGCCGACAAGACAGTGCCACTGACGTCATGCCTCGATAGCCTACATGCCCTGCGCCTTATCCCTCTTCGGGCTCGTCCGACGGGCCGACGCCCGACGGCGACCGAACAGCGACGAGGCTGTCTCCCCCAACCTCAATATCCCGTTACGCTCTAAATGTTGCAATAATTTTGTTTCGTACCACAATGGCGCCCGCGGCCTCAGTTGCAAATTCATCGCGCTTCAGCAGACCTGAGTTCGCCCTAACACCGATTCAAGCCCTCTGCCATAACCATCGTGTAACCTTCACTGTGCCACACCGCATTTTGACGTGCTGGTCGACGTGCAGCCTGATGACTAGAAGGCCCTACCGACCGGCCACCTCGTTGTCGGACCCGGGTACCGCAAGACTTCAGCGCTCCGCGCTCGATACGGGAGCTGAAAGTATAATTGTCACTGCGCACTCGCTTGATAGAATGGAGAGCCTGTCACCGATGTTGCCACGAAAAAATCCAAGAGCCATCGCACAGTACGCTATTGTTACTGTACCAGCATTTTAATACTATGAGGATCTCTTCTCAGGTCGTCTCGGTCCAGACTCCAGGGCTAGTACGTCATATTAATTCTTTGTTTTCATGGCCAGTTCTTATTTATGACGATTCTTATTTATGAAGACGACCAATAATATATTAATGATCCGCTACAGGTTCAGAGACCCGTATCGGCAAGTCCAGCCACAATGATAGTACAGGTAGTAATACAGAGTAATGATACATCAGAAGGCAAAGAAACTAAACCGGGAATGAAAATCGCACTGAAACCTGATAAAATCAAACAAGCTCGAGTCCGCAATTTTTGAGATCACATAGGCACCACATAGGGAGGATAGGCTGAATCAGTCCGTTAGGTACCAGGGTATTGAGTAATGGAGGGACAACGAGGCTAAACAAAAACCGAAGGCAAAACGACACTTGGGTGAGCGCTCCCGCACTCAATCATCTATCTCGTCTTCCGACTCCCAGCCTGCCCACCACCACTCTGCGTCCCTCTCTTGCGGCTGTTCATTTTCATCAGGTTCACCGTAGTATGCGTGAATGAGCGCTTCTGAGGGATATCTGAACACTTTCCCCCGCTCGGTAGATGCAAATCCGACCGACTTGGCCTTGCGTTTTGAGGTAACGAGAGCAGAAGATTTCTTTATTTCAAAGACATTCACAGACTCGTGGTCATCGTCTTCACTGTCTTCATGAATCTGATATGTGAGCCGCTCGGAAAACGAAATGCAGCGATCGTGGCTATGGGCAAGCGATGACGATACACCAGACATGTATGTCTGCCGACCTCTCTCTAGGTTCTTCCTTTCGGCAGGGCATGTCGCCTAACGTAACCGGAGCAATGAGGACACTATCCTTCAACTAGACGACTAATCAGTCGATCACTCACCGCTTCGTTAAACTCCATATTCAGCCTCGCCAAGCGTTCCAACGCGCCCTCTATATCCCAAGCGGGTAATAGTCCTATCTCGCCAGTCTCTACGACACGTACACGCAGCGCATGCTCTCCCACTTCTTCCAGGACCAGAATCTGCGCGTCCGCGTCTACTCTCAAAGGCTCATTTCTATACGGGGGCCCAATCACTGTTGAGCCAACTGGAGGGAAGGGCTCTAGAACGTAATGAATTCCTGCAGCGGCTTCATATGCGGCAGTGCTCCAGGTGAGTACAGGACGATCAGATGGCGAGTCGGTCTCTAGTGGAGAGAGAGGGCAATCGGAGTCGATAGACGACGAAGGAGAAGAAAGTCCTGGAGGGTTTGGCGAAGAGGCATTACAGGACGACGGCGATCCGCTGGGCCAGCCGAAATAGCCAGAGGACGCCTCGCGCACAATCGGATGCGAGATCGCGATTGGGAGCGTGGCGTGCGAGGGAGCTGAGGCTTGAGAACTCATGTTCGTGGGGAAATGTGGGAAATGCGGGGGAGCTGAGACTAGGCGGGGACGACTGGAAAATATGAGGGTATGGTCTGAACACGAGGTATGGTAGAAGAGAGGTCTTATCGGACGGGGAGCGGTCTCTTATAGCATCAGGAACGGAGTGCTGAGGAACCAGGAAAGGCGGAGAGGAGAAGTTCAAGGCAGAGTTGGGGCAGAGTCCTCTGTAAGTGTAATATCCTCCCAGTGCTTTTGGATGCCGGGCTTACGAGTGCTGCGGGAAGAGGACGCGGATGGTAGACGAGTCTGACAAATGCACATCGCCCCCACCCGAAGCCGACGTCGCCTTGCTGGGTCGAGTCGCAGTGAGTGCGCGGTCGCCACCAATGTCAGGGCCAATGCAGCAGAGCCTCCGTATAACAGGATTGGGGGGCGCTGAGAGGCAGCGCACTGAGCGCAGGCTGATAGCAAGTCTCAACAGCCCATAAAAGACAAGATCCCCATGAGAGCCGCACTTATCGAGGTTGGTAAGCCAGAGCGGTCCCGGTGCCCGGCCTCGGAGATGAGCTGGAACCATATTCCCACGCCACAGACGCGTCTATGGCGCTCGTAAGTCATAGCGACTCTTCAGCTTTAAGCTTGTTATCTTGGCGCGACCGTCTGTCTTATTCAACTCTCCACGGAGTATATGTATTTGGCCGATAAGACTGAATCCTGGAACGCGTGAACAGCCCCGACAAATAGAGCAATCGACACAGCGGGCGGCAAAGTCTCGGTAGCGCCCACTACTGAATGGAAAACCTCACACAGCACCCCTTCACCTGCCAATATTGGCCGCCTTATTCCACTCAAGCACCTCGCCCCAGGACCGCCACATCCGGTCCAGCACGCGCAGCTTCTCTGCCCGTCCCAGGGCCGGATCTTCGAGATCCACTACATCTTCCAAAAATCCTTCCCTCAGACGTGTATTTGCCGGTAGATACCTTTCGGCGTAGGTACGCAGGTGGCTCACGGATAGCAGCAGGAGACCTGCGGTTAATGGCGGGATTGACGGCGCAGGCTGTGCGAGTGGGGCGCCTGGGTGTCGGTGGTCGTGATCTGACTTGGGCTGCGCGATCAACAGCCGTTCGATGCGTCTGAAGTATGCGCAAGGTGAAAACGTCAGCAACGGTCGAGTCCGTTTAGAGGAATGAAACGACATCATACATACCGCATCTTGAGCCACACGCTCGCTTTTCGACGCGAGCCACCATACCTTCCTCTTCCTCTTCCGCCTGCCCAAATAGCCCTGACGTAGCCGCCGAGGACGTACACGATGGCTATGGCAGGGGCGACACCCACAAAAGCAAACGTCAGCTCTTGGGATTTGAGCAATTTGTCGATGCCTGCTAATGCTTGGTCGATGTCCACCTGAAAATCGCCGGAAGTGTAGGAGACTGAAGCTCTGTTATCAGCATACTACTGCCACTGACCTTAGCCTTTTGTACTTGTATAAACAATGTTCTCAATAAGGTTCCGCCGACAGCTGATTTGAGCGGGTTCTTGATGTCCTCCTCATATATTTGCATAACTGGTGTCAGATCACCAAGCTGGATTTGACGTGATAGTGCCTCTATTTGGGTCGCATTGTAATTCAGCTTCTCCTGCGCAAGTGCGAGGGCCATCCTTTCGAGGGACTAGCGAATCTTCAGTCAGTCGTGGTCTCATTTGAGGCAGAACCCTTACATCCAAATCTGCCCGTAAACTCTGCTGATTGACGATAACCGTATCGTCTCCCCCAGTGCGAACAGTCTTCACAACTTCCCTGAGCGGTTCTAGGAGCCAGCCTTCCCAAAATCCTCGTGCCGTTTGCCATGCCTCAACGGCCACTTCGTGCAGCGACCACCTTGATGCGTACACACATCGCAGAGCATACAGCATTAGTGGCGGGAGCAAGAGGAGCCGTGGCCAGAGTAGGGTAAAACGGGAGGGACGGGCGAGGTTACGCGTCGCTATTTCAGGTGTGCGCATGGATATATCTGAGGGATGTAGTTCTTCCGCCACGAACTGCAAAAATGTGACAGTGCTCAAATTCTCCAGGTTATCGATGGGAAAAGGGTGCTTTCCCTGAATGACACGGTACAACGAGTATGCAAAAACCTTCAGCTTCTCCATTCCCGCCTCGTTTGACAGGTCTTCGAGTGTAGAAGCGAGCGAGTCGCGCATTTCAGCTAATAGGCCAAGAGTCTCCGCACGCTCATCGCGCATTTTCTTCAGTTGATCTCGCTTGTAATTGCATTCTCCTCTAGTGAGTTCCAGCGGCAAAGACACAATCCTGACAAGACCATGCGCAAGGTTGACAAAAGTGAAGTAAACTGCATGCAGTGCGGACACGACGCTCTGGCGTGGCGAATCAGCAAACGCAGAGACTGATGGAAATCGACCTGTCAAGAGAGCTATACTATATGGCTGAGAGCGCAGGTAGGGGAAAAGAGCAACCGTAAGCGAACTCGGGCGAAGGACACTCGTGGACGGAAACAATTGACGCAGGGAAGACGGAGTGAATATGGAAGGGCGGAGAGGGAGGTTATGCCTCCGGAACTTTGCCAGAATAGTATCCCCTAAACTCGCCAGGCGCAATGGGAGTGCTGTGAACACAAAACATTAGTCATAGTCGCTCAATGTCTCCTACCAATAAAAAGCGTGTCTAGTCGGGCGATCCCACAATGATGAATTGATTCGCCTATCTAATGAATGTATGCGCTGCACACAATTGCAGTCAATATTTTGGATTGTGCTTACTTTGTATGAAATAGTGGATGACATTGCTACTGGAGCACTCGACATCATTCCACCACTCTATTTCGTCTTCAATTTGCCTTGCTTCCTTCAAAAATGCATCTAGTGCACCTCTGTAGATATTTACAGTCAAATGTCCAACAATAGCTCTCCGTAGTGTAGTCTCTTCGTCATCAGGTCCAGTGAACGAATCTCTATTCGATTCAAGACGTTGGACAGACCTCAAACATTCGCCAGTATGTTCGAAGGGCACAGGGCGGCTTATGCTTAGCAGAAGAGACCGCAATGACTCCAAGTCGGCACCTGTCCTTTGAGAATATCCTGGAGAACTTGGAGGCGTGTTTGGCGGAGCAATCTTCAAAGCCAAGTCACGAGTTACGTGAATGACAAAGTTTGACATGGCCAGAACATTAGCTCAAAAAAAAAAGCACTCTGTATCGCACTGGGATGAAGAAAGACAGCAGAATCCACGCAGAACAGAACAGCCCAAGAATTGTCTAGCTTTAGCGATGACGTTTGGCCGCCACAATACAAACAGCCATCACTAATGTCAGAGACGCTCGTCCATGAGTGCCGTCTCCCGTCGGACCCGTCCTAGCTATCATTGAACGGGGTGAACACCTTGAACTCAACTTGGAGGGTATACTTCACCATTTTACTCATACAAGATGGCGGCAAATAAGGCAAACAAGCTTGCCTTTCTGTCTATGCCCGCACCGGCTTCCTATGTCGCCGGTTTAGGTCGAGGGCATGTTGACTTACTATTCTACGTTTTGCATCTACTCATATCCCTCCTAGTGCTTCGGGTTTTACAACCCGATCTGATATTGGTCCAGCCCGAGAGGGTCCATCTGCGGAGATAGTTGCGTGAGTGCCTGTGCAGTTCTATATTACATTGTTTGACATCCTGTGCAGAGAGGCTCAGGCGCGAAGAGGCGAGGAGGCTGAAGTCGATCCTGATCAGTTCCAGGACCCAGACAATGAATATGGTCTCTTTGCTGGTACGACATATGAGGCCGATGATGAAGAGGCGGACAAAATTTACGAGCAGGTTGATATGAATATGGATGCACGGAGGAGGGCGCGCAGGTTCGTCCCTTTCGGTCAGTATTGTATTCGCCAAGTATTCTTAATAATTTCATTATCCTTCTCGTATTATTAGGGAGGCACTCGAGAACGAGGAGCTAGCAAAGCACCGTGCTGAACGCCCAAAGATCCAGCAGCAATTCGCGGATCTGAAGCGTGGACTTGCCGTGGTCACCGATGAAGAATGGGAGAACATTCCAGAGGTGGGCAATCTCACGCGCAAAAAGCGTAAAAGGGACGAGAGGTCATTCGTTGTGCCCGACAGCGTCATGGTCGGAGATAGGTCTAAGACCGAATATGAAAACTCGTTAGACGCGAGACAACAAGCGGTACGTAATTCTGCTCTTACCACTTATGAAGTCAGCTCATTTGCCCTGTGATGTAGACCAATGGCTTCGAGACACCCGCTGATAGTGGTACTCTCACCAACTTCGTCGAAATGGGTCAGGCCCGTGATAAGATTCTATCTCTGAAGCTGGATCAGGTATGGCGCTTGTTTGATATACTGACTCATCGTCTAATGTTCATGCAGGTTTCTGGGACGTCCACCACTTCCGGACTATCCACATCAATTGACCCTAAGGGTTATCTGACATCACTAGACAGCGTTGTCTTGAAGACTGATGCGGAAATTGGCGACATCAAGCGGGCACGAATGCTTTTTGACTCGCTTGTCAAGTCAAATCCGAAGCATGCACCAGGGTGGATAGCTGCTGCGTGCCTCGAAGAGCATGCGGGTAGAATGGTAGCGGCTCGCAAGCTCATCAAAGCAGGCTGCGAGCAATGTCCGAAGAGCGATGACGTTTGGTTGGAGGCGGCTCGATTACATGTGGGTTTCCACGTCGCATCAGGCTGATCGTTCTTTGTGCTTAAACAGGCCAATCTATAGAATAACGATGATGCCAAGGTAATTTTGGCGAATGCTGTGCAGCATGTTGGCCAGAGTGTCAAGATCTGGCTCGCTGCCGCCGATCTGGAGCATGATAACAAAGCAAAGAAGCGGGTCCTCCGAAAATGTGCGTCTCCCGTTTGCAGCAGGTAGCAAGAGGCTAACCTTGCTGCAGCTCTTGAGCACATTCCAAATTCAGTACGCTTATGGAAAGAAACAGTCAATCTCGAGTCAAATCCCGTCGATGCACGTATTCTCCTTTCACGCGCAGTGGAGGTCATCCCTCTTTCCGTTGAACTTTGGCTTGCTCTTGCACGACTCGAGACACCAGATAAAGCCAAAGCAGTCCTTAACAAAGCTCGCAAGGCGGTGCCTACTAGTCACGAGATTTGGATTGCGGCAGGTAGGTTGCTTGAACAGGAGGCATATGTACCTGGAAAGAATGAGGAGCAGCGTACCAAGGAGCTAGATGTAGTGGATAAGACTATCGAGGCCGGTGTTCGCCAACTTCGTCATCACCAAGTGCTTCTTACTCGTGAGCAGTGGCTCAAAGAGGCCGAGCGCTGCGAGAGCGAGGGTTCCCCTAGGACATGCGAAGCTATCATTAAAGCGACGGTGGCGATGGATATCGAGGAGGAGGATAGGCTGGACACCTGGATGGGCGATGCTGAGAGTGCTGAAGTTAGGGGACATATCGGGACCGCCAGAGCTATACTAGCATATGCCCTTAAAGTCTTCCCAGATAAGCGGGCAATATGGAGGAAGGCTGCCGATTTGGAAAAGGCGCACGGCACCAGGTACGTCTTCAAGCCGTCTTCCTCTCCGATTTTCTCACGTATAATCTAAGGGAATCCCTCGACGCTATTCTCGAGCGTGCTGTGCATCACTGTCCACAAGCGGAAGTTTTGTGGCTAATGTGGGCAAAAGAAAAATGGCTTGCTGGCGATGTTCCTGCCGCTCGTGAAGTACTTGAGCGAGCGTTCATCGCGAATCCGGAGAGTGAACAAATCTGGCTTGCTGCCGTCAAGATCGAGGCAGAGAACGGCGAGTTGGGTGTCGCGCGTGAGCTATTAGTCCGTGCGCGAACAGTCGCTGACACTCAAAGGGTACGTTCCTCTGCACGTCTCTCACTTATCAGGACTAACACATGCTCTAGATTTGGATGAAGTCCGCCGTTTTTGAACGGCAACAGGACCAGCTCGACTCGGCGCTCGAGACTCTTGCGACTGCCATCAAGAAATATCCCAAGTTTGCTAAGCTGTACATGATACAGGGCCAAATTCACCAAGACAGGAAAGATTATCCCGCTGCTCGTGCGTCTTTCGCGGCTGGCATCAAGGCGTCCCCGAAAGAGGCCACGTTGTGGATTCTTGCCAGTAGGCTTGAGGAGGCAGACGGTAGGAGCATCAAGGCCCGGGCGCTTCTGGATAAGGCGCGGCTTGCGAATCCGGGGAGCGATGTCCTGTGGGCTGAAGCGGTTGGCGTCGAGGAGCGCAGCGGTGGCGCTACTCAGGCGAAGACGGTGCTTGCGCGAGGTACGCTTTCGCGTCTGTATGTTCCTATCCTTTCATATCATTGATCAACTACTAGGCCTGCAAGAATGCCAAACATCCGGCCTATTGTGGTCGATGACTATATGGGCGGAGTCGCGACCGACCAGGAAGTCGCGCTCAGCAGATGCACTGCGGAAAGCGGCGGACGATCCACTTGTGCTGTGTACTGTCGCACGGCTGTTCTGGGCCGAGCGCAAGATCGAGAAGGCGCGGCAGTGGTTTGATCGGTCTATCGCTGCGAACCCGGACTTGGGCGACAACTGGGGCTGGTGGCTTAAATTCGAGCGGCAGCATGGAAACTTGGTAAGTTGCTTCAGCTTCTCGGCTATGATTCATTGGAGCCGCATTGCTGATGGAACACTGTTTTCTAGGAGCAGCAGGAGGACGTCGTCAAGAAGTGTATTGCCGTAGAGCCACATCATGGAGCGACGTGGCAGTCTGTAGCGAAAGATGTACAGAATTATCGGAAGAGCGTACAGGAAGTCCTTGAGCTTGTTGTGAATTTATTGCACTAGTTGTAATATCGTTGATTTGTATGATTATGTGCTGTTCACACGGAGGGTTTTCGCGGTGGAAATGATGATTGGGCAATCGATGTAACCTTCATCGTACTCCGCAGTACAACTGCCCAGTTATGCGCAGTACGTCAAAAGGCGCATACAAGCTGATGGAAATATGCGAAGTGAAATTTTGTTACATATTTATCATCTTCAATGTTTTATCTGTACCTTTATCGGTAGCGCACGGCTGAGTAACCACCCTTGCCCGATTGCGAGACAAAAAGCGTATATAGCCCAGACAGTGCGACAATCTCCATCCATGCTGACTGTAGAAGCCAAAGATGTCAAGTCCTAATTCCATGTATTTGCAAGGGCAAAGTGATTCCAATGGAGCAGTCAAACTCAAAGTTGTATTAATGGTACAATAATGACATTTCGTCTTCGTCTGCTTCACATTACCATCGCTTCAAGATCATACACTATTATACCATGCGAACCGGTGCGCGCGCAATTCACGAGCAACCCGGGAATTTACCAGCCGGACTGAGATACATTATAAGAATACTTCAAAATGTAATAGGTTCGACAATTATTCACCTTTTCCTGCTGGCCGCGGTCTTTCTTGGCCTGGTTGCCAGTAACTTTTCCAGTCATCTCTTGGAAATCGCCTTTGTGACGCGGCCGATACTCTTAGAATATCGCTAACATATCGTATTGATTTATGCTCACCCTTGAGCTTCTGACCAAGCGATGGCTTTCCGCTACCTTGGTTTCCAGCCGAGCCGGTAGTGCCCTGATTGTAGCCAGCAGTACCCTGGTTGTAATCGTCGTCACCCAGGCCTTGACCGCCCCGAGCACCGGCACCGCTGCGAGCATAGTCTCCTCCAGTACCATACGTACTGGAGTCGGTAGTGTCGCCTTGATAGCCAGTAGAACCGTAGTTCTCACCGCTGCCGGCAGTCCACTGTTGCCCCTGGCTCTGATCGCCTTGCCAGCCACCAGCACCGCTCTGCCGGTCTTGGAACCCTTGGCCGCTCAAGCCCTGGTCCTGGTCGCGGAAACGTTGATCGCTGTTGTCCTCGCCTTGCCAGTCACGGCCGGCTCCCTGGGTCTGACCGTAACCCTGACCCTGGGATGCCGGGTCGCTGAAGTCGCGGCCTTGCCAGTCGCGATCGCCGCCCCCTAAAATATAGGGTCACTTTTCGATGCAAAGAGAATTACGGAACCGAGCGACGTACGGCCTTGCGATGGGTTACCGTAAGAAGTCATGGTGTAAAATATTCGAGAGGTGATGAAGTTGCAATTTAGTGAGAGTTGCGATGTATGAAAGTAGTTCAAGATTCTGGGCACCGAGCACGAGAGCACCCTGGTTCTTATACGGTTTACTGCCGCTGCAAATGTGCGTGTGCCAATTGCGGAGGGTGGTGATGCAATGGCTCCTCATCAGTGACGAGTTGGAGACAGGGGGAGCCCATCATGGGGCCGATGGCGAAACCTCCCTCACAGGCAATTGCTACACACTTGGTGCCACTCGGGAGAGCTTTCCAAGAAATCTTGTCTCGACGTCATCAATGGCCAGAAGTCGGTCCATTTCCGCATCGGTGAGAGACATTGCGCATTTGGAATGACTACCGCCGTGGAGAGGGGCCAAAACACTTCACTTGCCTAAGAAACGCCACCCGTGCGGAGTCGGCGGGTTGGCGCCACGAGCAGCATTTGCAGTACTTGTGTGGAGTCACAACACCGGGTCGCAACAAAACGGAATTTTGCCGCATCGGCTGCCCATAGTATGACGGTCACCATCCGAGAACGACATGATTCGGTGTAATATACCAGTGAGGATAATGCGCCAACTTTTCGCTGCCTAAGGCTCTCAAGATTCTGTCACAGCTACTTCAACATCTCGCCGCACCGGAAGCTTACACTGATAGACGTGACTGAGAGGGAATACGTGGATCACGTTGGCGGGACGAGAATATCCACTGGACGTCGTGGTTTGGATCGTGCCGGCGCCTGAACTTAGACTGCCGTTTCAGGCAGGTCTCGTAGATCGGGTCGAGAAGGTGACGGACAACGCGCGTGCACTCGGTCCCCTCGTTATTCCAAGTTTATTTATCTACTGCCTTATTGTGACCCTCCTCTTATAAGCCACAAATCACGCACGTTTCTTCATGCTCAAATTTGCACCCAACGGCGTGGCGCCGGCATTTGTCTAGTTTTGCCCGTAATTTCCCTGTTCGATGTGTTTGGGACCCGGTGAGAGAAGAATGGTCATGACATTGACGTTGAAGTGAGATGAGTATTCCGAACAAAGTATTCCCGCGTCCCAATCAGAGCATTCTGTCTCCAGTCTCGTGTGCCTCGCCCGTCTAATACAGGAAAAGGCGTATACAATGTCGTTGACGCCAATAATCATGATGGACGCCAGTGAGATGTGGTCCTGGAAGCTGAGGTCGATATCCGGATAAATTCAACAAACTCGGGTCAAATTTCACCCGTCCGCGTCCTCTCAGTTCAACTACATCATCCTCAATGGTTTCCTTCGTCTGTGCCGCTTTGGATGTTGTCCACAGAACCCTACTCAACCCCGCAGCCGATTTCGTTCTTGGTCCTGTCTGCCGTATCTCAAAGCACGCCGTTATCAGGTATCTATCTATCCTTTCCAACCTTTCTTCGACATGCTCAAATCTAGCCTACTGTACGCAGCGCCCTCAATAATATCTCTGATGGATGTCTCATCATAAAAACACCCGAACTCATTTACACCTGGGACTGCCGCGCGCCTGACGCATATTCACAGCTACTCATCGCGCAGCTCGATGTGGTCAACCCTGCCTTCTGGCTCCGTGTTGCTACGTCTGGAGATCTCGGCTTTGCAGAAGCTTACATGTACGGCGAAGTCAAGTGCGAAGACCTTATTGATCTTTTTGCGGTGTGTATAGCTTGCCTTTTCCTGCAGGGATCATTGTTTCATGTTCACTATGAATGAGGAGTATACGCCTGTTCGCGCCTATTCTGGACATTTGTATCCTCGAAATAATACGACACGCATACATATCCTTCTCTCTTTTATCCCCATTCCCCGTCGGTGTTATTTCTGATACTTTATCAGGTCCTCCTCGCAAACCGCTCATGCATGACTGCAATCGACTCATATCTTGCACGACTTTGCCGTCACCCTCTCCTCCCTCTTTCCAACTCACTTGTTCGTGCTCGCTATAATGCCAGCGCACACTACGACCTCGGAAACGGTGTCTTTGCTGGTGAGCAGTAAGCTTCTTGTCCAAATTTCTCTGTACTTCCATGTGGCGATACTAGTCAGTGAACATTTACACTAACGATCTCGTTCGTGTATCATAGCCTTCCTCTCACGCGACATGACTTACTCGTGCGCCATCTTCTCCGAGTTGGATGGCGACCTGGAAGGACACAACATCGATAACATACAGATTGTCGTGGAGGATCAGTCTATGGAAAATGATGGGCTGGAATTTGACCAGAGCATGTGTGATGGCTCGGAAAGCGACGGGGCCGACATAAGCGCACGCCAAACTCCGGTTAAGGACACTCAGCTAAGCAGCGTTGAGGATGATCAGGAACTGCATGAGGCGCAGATACGGAAAATCAAGACTATCGTGCAGAAAGCTGATATTAGAGAAGGACATCGAGTGCGTTGCTTTTTGGACCGGTACTGCTATCCGCATCTTAATGCTTTTTCGCTCTCGTTCAGGTTCTAGAAATTGGTACCGGATGGGGCGCACTGGCAATCTGGATTGTAAACAATATTTCCGGTACGACTATCGACACGCTCACACTATCCGAGGCGCAGGCTGCAGTCGCGCGGAAAAGAGTAGAAGCCGAAGGGCTGGGTGTGTTTAGATGCGAGAAATGCAATGAAGCGACGAGAGGGAAGAACGCAACTGACACGAGAAATACGGCAGCACTGTCGTGCGAGTGTAAAGATGCGAGGGTGCGCGTTCATATCATGGACTATAGAAACATGCCGGCAGAGTGGGCGGGTGCATTCGATCGGATGGTAAGCGTGGAGATGGTAGAGGCTGTAGGAATAGACTTCCTGGAGGTGAGTGCGCTCACTGTCTGAAGTGTCGCGTCTAATGCGTTTCTACCGTATTCCGGGGACGCAGACGTATTGGACCCAAATCGACTGGGCACTGAATGAACAGACGGGTGTTGGCTGCATACAGGGTATCACGATCCCGGAAGCGCGTAAGTAGTAATACCTTGCTCTCGACATCTAGCACATCGCATTGCGTTTTGGCACTCATCCACCCTAGGGTTCGATGCATACGTGAAGGATGAGGACTTCATTCGAAAATGGGTGCGGTCTCTTACCAGTCAATATGTATCGTCTGTGAAAATCTGATCTTGCCTAAAATCATTTGTTTGCGTGACAGAGTACGTTTTTCAAACGTTTGAATTTTCCACGAGCTGATCGTTTATTCCTCCCGTCTTCCCATCTCCGGAATTTTGAACCCATCGTGCTCCTGGCCAGTTTTCCCAGGTGGGTGTATGCCCACGCTGACCCTCCTGCTGTCCAGCTTGGAGCGTGGAACACAGGGGCGGCTCGTTGTGGACAGCGTAGAAAACATCGGCCCTCATTATGCTCGTACACTGAGGGAATGGCGAAAGCGCTTTGAGGGACGTTTTGAGGATGTCATCGTGCCAGGTAAGACCAAACATGCAATGATACTTATCCTTTCCCTGAACATCATACCAATGGATTTAAGTTGGGACCTGCTGATCGTTGTGCCATTAGAACTAAAGAAAGAATATCCGGATGTCATGGGAAACAACGCGAAAAACGCGCGGGAGGAGATTGACGTGTTCAAGAGGAAATGGATATATTATTTGTGAGTCTGTCGTAGTCTCTTTGACTCTTACAGACTACAGGCCAGTGAGCTGATATGATTTGAACTCTCATTTCCAGCTGCTACTGTGAAGCAGGCTTTGCAAGTCGCAGCTTGGGCGGTAGGTGCTCACACCATACCTCCCAGTGGGTGAGATGTCTCAGCAAAATCTTTCATTGACAGACCACATTGTCACCTTCACGCGAGAAGGGAACGTCGAGTTTGGTTGTCAGGCCTTGCGACGATAACCTCCACGTGTTTTGAGAGAATCGAACACGCGGATCGTCACGTATGCAGCGCAACCTTGTACAACCAGAGATGAGAATATGAACCCACGCGTCACCGTACTAAACATTCATAAAGATAAGAATAAAAGTTATGCGTCGACCGCATTATCCTGCAACACACACGAAACACATGAAATATTTCAATTATGGATTATCGTGAACCGCTTCCTTGACCTTCGTTGAAGTGTTGCATCAGCCGCTGTTTGAGGAATCCATCCATATCGTGCACCAGCTTTGTAGCAGCGAGTACCTCTTCCAATGACATCTGCGAGCCGGCGACTTTCATGTCCTCATACGCTTTGTGCAGAGCGCCAAGCGCGTTGGATGTCGTATGTACTCGGCGCAAGGGGGTGGCGGTTGGAGATTGCGGCCGTCCCGAGAGGGTACACGCGGGTGCACTGTGCGCCCGCCCAGGTGCCGAGTTATCTTCAGCCGGCTGGGTGGAAGCCTCGTCGTCTTGGCTAGAGGGTACGGCTTCTTCGAATTCTGCAACACTACACTGTAAGATGTAGAAGGGAAGAAGATCCAGAGCGAACCGACCTGGCATCTTCGCGTAGCGCTGTGTAGTGGGTGTGAAAAGCTCTCGCTCTGCTAATTGAGAGTTTGACGGTTCATCATGGAGGATATCGTTGTCATCTTGTGAAGAAACTGTTAACCATACAATGCGACTACGCGCGTACAGTCACCTTACCTGACGCTAAGATCATCCCACGCTTGACCTCGTCTAAGTCAACACCCATTTCCCAAGTAGCATAGTCGTCCGATGACGGCGTGAGCGCCCTTGAAACCGACGGGAGGGATGCTTTAGTCAGGATTGGCACCTCAGGACTCATAGACATCGTAGGTTTCCGAAGACTAGTACGAGGGAACCTTGACTTTGCTCGTCTTCGCGTAATTTGTGCATACGTCGGAACTTCGACACAATCGAGTCGCCATCGCAAGCTCCGTGGCTCAGATACGCTCCGGGATCCCTCTAGTCTACGGATCTTGGGGATAGAAGAGGATGATGATCCGGTCTCCCTTGATGGATCCCTATACGGTCGGACCATGACGTCACTGCATTGACCAACGTCCATCCTGTCTCCTTGGCTGGAAGATTGAAATTCCAACCTTGATCGCTTCCGCTTTGGAGACTTCGGCGTGATTGATTCTTCGGTTTGCAGTCTCTGAGGCTCTTGTCTCATCCTGCCTTTGCTCAATCCTGTTTTATCAGTTGTCGGCGAGCTCGACAAATAAGCTGGAGAAGATGAGCGCGGATGGGTGTGGTCCACTTGGGCGCTCGGGGAACTTGATTCCCTCCTGCCATGTGCAACAATATTCCGAACTGTTTCGTTCATGTACCTTTGATTTGTCAATTCTGGAAGAACACAGGGCACTTCAAGACTCTGATACGTTGCCGCACTCACAGGTCTTGAAGTGCTTGATCCCTCGCGGGTGTGAATACTTGGCTCGACCATAGAATTTTCGTCTAGTCGTCCAGCTAGGGGACAGGGCGGGCGATTCAGCCCTTGCTGGGACAAAGGGGTCTCTGGCACAAAATCCTGGGGGTACATTATCGTCAAGATCGGTCATCCACAGCTACATATATCTGACCTCTACCTGAGACTGAGATTGAAATTCGAGCTGTGAGTCTGCCGAAATTTCAGACGGCGCTGTTCCCCCGAGATACGTATAACAGGGCTTCAAGATATTCTTGATGTTTTCGGGCAAGCAGTAGATCAGAGGTCCCAAATACGAACGGATAGATTCCCAGAAGTCTCTTAATGCGATTGGTCCACGTGCAGGGGCAGGGATACGATGGAACGCAGAATGAAAGAATAGGGACAAGTCCTCAAGCGCCTCACGAGTAAATGTACAATTTCTTAGATGGTTCAGGGTATCACAGTAGAGGGGTATAATCTATCGATAGCAAACAGATTAGCTCATGTACTACTTGGGTCGCCGGTACGCACCACGTTATAATTCAACTCTTCGTCAGGCATAAGGTGTGCTTCATCGCGTATCCAGGTGCTTACGCCATCTGAGAGCGCCGATACCGCAGGAATAAGAAGATTGCCGGGACAAGTCGACAGTAGATCCCCGAGCAACTGGAGGACCTCCAGAGACAAGTGTACATCATGCAGGAGGTACATGTCATTGAGAAAATTGTTCAGGAAAGAAAAAAACTGAGACGGTATAGTGTCCACTGTATGCAATCGCAAATGCTTGAGTAGGGAAACCACAATTTGCGGATGAATGGGGTATCTACAAAAATGTCAATAAATTCCCTAGAGCTTATGTCAAGCCAGCTGACCTCCCGAATGAATATCTAGCGCGTGAAATAATTGTGTCCACGATTGTAGATGAGGAGACTGATGTGACACTAGCACAACGAATCCCGAAGCTGATGAGTTCGCTCCAGATCTCCATTTCGTCATCTGAAACGTTCCACAACCTACGAGAAGATAAATAACCTTCTTTCGCCCAATAAAAATAAGAAGTATACCCGATCGGCATTGCAAGAAGTGAGATTGTATCTGACCAGCTTGCGACCGGGAGCGCTGACTGCCATGATCTTGCTAATGCGAACCATAAATATCGTTTTAAGTCAATCTCTCTTTCATCCTCGTCCTCCGCCGCGAGCTTGCGAAGTAAATCAGGACCACTTGAGATAACAAGAACAGCGCAGAGCTCGCCCCACGCAACTTTGACATCTTCGCGGTCAAGACTGTATTGATGCGAGAGCACGGCGGTCAGAATGTTTCCTGACATATTCCGTAACCAAGAGGTGGAGAGTATGCTCTCAACACTCGTCCAAAGCTCTTTTACAAGTACAAGTGGCACAAGCTCGATACTATCGTCTTCTGCCATCCCCTTAAAATGCAGGAAATCTACAATGACACCGACCACACGGTGGACAAAATCAGGTGGTGTTGTTAGATGTCCGTGTTCTCGTGCGATACGGGCTTGAGGGGAAAGTAGCCTTTTCCACATGCTCGTGAGGTCATCCTGAAATATTATTCTCGATTACCAATGAATCAGATACATACGCAAATAAATACGCTTACCCCGAGTGCAAAAATTCCAGATGCAGACGCAGCTTTTCGAACGCAGAGGATCCAGACATCCAGCAAGTCCTCCCAGTGGCATATAATTTCCGCTTCGGTGAGGGGGCGCACATCGTCCACGTTGACATTATCCACAGTCGATGCGAGCGTAGCAAGTTTATCCTTGTCGGCCCAGAGTACAGTCCCATCAAAAAGCTCCATTGCAAGGACTTTATTGAGTCCATTTATGGGGTCAGCCATGGCCCAAGCAGTAGGATGAACAGCGATCGAGCTCAAGAGTTTCTTTATAACTCCTCTCCCATGTACGTGTATCGCGTTGTAGCGACTCTTGACCATAGCGGTGACTACTGCAAGGAGCATCGATAAGTCGCAGCCAAGCTGTGACATTTCGTGGTGACCTGGACAAGGGATAGAACTTGATTGTAACAATGAAATTACCGCTAATCCAATGCCACCTCTCAACTCATCCTTAACCACCAGAAGGGTGCGCCTTATAGTGTCCCTCTGCTTCTCCGACACGTTCCCCTTGGGGTGATCTAAGACTGACCGAGTTTTCATGCGACCAAATGCCCACACCAAGCATCTCCATACGCGGATGTGCAATGCGAGTGCGGCCTCCAGATAATGCATGGTATGCGAGAAACATGCTCCAACAAGTCTTAACGTGGGGGCGTGGGTGAAAACATCTCGGTCTGAGAGGACGATTATAGACGCCAGCACGACAAGTGCCCATACGTGGCCCTGGCCCGCGACATGCGTCTGCTTAGATTGAAGTGCAGCCAGAAGGATATCAGTGAGGGTAGATCTGGAAGTGGCAGATGGAAGTTGTCGCTTCGATGTCGATTCGATGAAACTAAATACGGATTGTTGAGCTAAGATCCGCTGGGCTTCGCCTATAGGCTGAGGCAAGGACAATAACGCAAATACGAATGCGCTCAGAGTATTGGCCGCGTGACTGCGAACAAGTTGTGAGGACGAACGGAGTCGTTCTAAAACTATTGGGATCATCCGAGTAACGAGCTCGACGAAAAATGATGGATGGGTGTGCAGATATGTTTGAAGAGCCTATACATATCAGATGACATGAACCAAGATATATATATAACCAAAACGCTAACCTTGAGACTGTCCGAAACCAATATCTCGCTGTCTTCGCGTTCGATGACTGACATGAGGGCTGAAACTAGCTGAGAACTTCTTTGCTTCAATAGCTCTGGTAGTCGGATGCTTGTCAATACCCATACAGCCAAAGAGCGCACTTTCATGCTGCTCATGACAGGAAGCGAAGGCGCAGGCGCGATGGTCATGACTTCATCCACGAGCTCGATCAAGTCTGTCACTATAGGGTTATGAGACCTCTGTTGCGTTGATTAAAAGTACACATACTCGAGAACAGTTCAGAAAAGACAGGAAATTGCACAATGCTTGCCAATAACCCTAGCGCTTGATAGCAGACTACGGACACATCCCGCGCATACTTTATATCCTCTTCAGTGAGCGCGGGTTGAACAGACTCGCCCAAGTACGATGCCGGGTTTCCCTGGCTGACTGCAACAAAAGGATCAGTGAATGCACGATGAATATCCCTCCTCAAGCACTTTGTGATAAGGGCGGCATTGTCCTGAACGTGAGCTAACGCATTTCTATGAAAACGCTCGTCAAAAATAGATGCGATCCCTTTGACTCGTACAGAGAATATATTGTATGCTTCTGAGATATCGTGGAGAGACAAATTTTCGAAGGCGAAGTCTTCTCTAGACTCTTGGAATGTGGCGATTGGCCCCTTGAAATATGTCGAGACTGAAGACGGCATCAGGCCTCGCTAAGATGCTCCTAGTCTTGGGGGAGCTTCCGGTGCGATACAGAAGTATCAAACGTACGCAGCGTTCAAGGGGGAAGCGGAGAACACTCGCTGAGACACTTTCTACCAGGTTGGGGTATGAGGCAGCGACAGACCAAACTCCAGCGGGGTCGAGAAGGAATGGCCGCACATAGAGTATACTTATTGCAAGAATCGCCTAGTTTTCGTTGCTTTTGACCCTGATTGGTGTTCCAATGTGGCTGAACTTGGGCCACAGGGGATTTGGAGCTGTCGACGAATGCCACAGGCTGCTCACAGCTCAAAAAATTTGATCTCGTAACTGATATTCTGATTACCCTGTTGCGACTTGTGAAGATCCTGCGTTTTTAAGAGGATTATAATAACATGGCTTCAGGACGGGACGTACGTGGTAGCAGGCAAGTTCGTGGCGGTGGTGGGCGCGGCAAATGGGCGGCAGAGTGAGCGTGGGAGCTTGCGACCCTGGATTCAATCCAACGCGATCACATGACACGCGTTTCGCGCGTCGGATGCAAAACGCAAAACCAAGGCGTTGAAATTGAGAAATAAATTCAAGGTGAGACAAAGAATTAAACACTTAGCATAAATACCAAGAGAACATCAGAAAAAAATTGAAGAGATTTGATGATGATTGTAGGATACTATCAAATTTTGGAACGTGAAACTTCTAAGGATGCGGTCGACAGATTGCGAATTATATCCTACTAGGCTACTATAGCATGTACTCCCAGCCTGAATGACAAACAAGGCAGATTAGTTGAAGATGTAACATCTTCAAGTAAATACTGTATCAGTGCGGAAAGCCCATTAGGCATTGATACCAATAGCAGCTCACCGGTGCAGTCGAAGATCTACAATATCATCCACTCTGTGCCTAATCGCTGTCAACGACGTAGATCTGACTCTTCACTGGTCCATTAGGATCTGGCTTCCGGAACCTCAGCCCAAGAGCAACGGTGCCACCTTCCTTGTCATCCGCGCCTCTCTTTCGCTTTCGCTGTGACCTCTCGTCATCGTAAAGTGGGTCCTGAGCGTGTCCATTGTCGTCTTCAGACATACCTTGTCCTTGTCGGGAGAGTTGGAACTTAGCCCACAGTGACTTTTCATACAATGTTTTCATCGTCTCATCAAGCTGATCCAGCTCCTCTTCCTCCAGTAGCTCCACCAGGAGGGCATCCGTGTCTGTTGCATCCGACATGATATCGTCATCTGCAATAGGCTCCGAGGAAGCAGATTGTGAGGGCCAAGGCGCATAGAAGGAGGCATCCAATGTTGCCTGTAGTTGGCCTGTAGCACCTGGCTGAGTATACGATGGCAACCGGATCGATGGGGCATAAATTGTGCGGTGTAGAGGAAATTCAGGAAGGGGTTCGGAGGTGTCGGATTCCAGACTATCTTCTTCCTCAGTTCCTCCGTCAGTATCATCGTTGTTATCATCAAAAACCCTGCGATCGTCTTGTAATGTGGGTATCTCCGAACCGACCTGATCCTGTCCATAGTCTTCCTCGTCACCCTGTCTCTCCGAGGGCTCCACTTGAACATTATCCTCATTGAAACCAAGTTTATGCAGTAGCTTCTCGAAATGCGCCTTTTTACTGACTTCGTCTGAACACATCATGGCCAGTGCGTGGTGAATGGTAGACGATACCATATCCTATACATGAGAGGAATCAGCGACAACTCGCTCCCAAAACAAGCAGAGATGGGTCCTGACATACCCCGTTTCTACCCATACGCCATGCCTTCGTATGCATTTTGGCTCTCCGCTCCTGCTCTCTCAGGGTTATCGCTCGATGCATTAGCTGCGCGGTGAAATGGGCGACGTGTGCATATAGAAGCCTGATTAGGTCTGTGGATATGTGAGATGCAATCGACGCAGGAACGTCATGCAACCTATTGTATAACCTGGTAGACAATTTGACATGAGTCAAGGGTATACAGCGATCTAAATTCACGAATGCGAAGCCACATACTGCATAAGCCTGGCTAATGAAGCCAAGTTAAATAAGCTTAAACCTTCATTTTGTAACTTCTCTGCATCTATTCCTCTCGTTTGCAATTGTGCGTGCAGTCTGTAAGGTAGCGTGACACCAGATGGATGAGGATGTCGCTGCGAATTCCCGTTGTCAACCTCTGCCTCTTCTGCAGAGTCACCAGGCCCCTTGGCAGGGCGCTCCTCTTCGGCTTTATCTATGGCAATACTTGTCGAGTGGCTGGCATTTTGGCCAACTGATGCGATGGTACGTTCTTCCACACGATGGACTCCACCTTTCCTTCGTCTTCCGGGCTTTAGTTTTTCCAAGGTACGGTCCACATCGAGGCCCTTTGCGGCAGCCCTTTTCTTCCGCATGTGTAGTCTCTTTTGCAGCCTGCGCCGAGCTGCAGGGGAGAGCTGTAATTCTGTAGACGATGCCACAACATCGTCTACTTTCGCTGGCGTAAGGGGCCGCGAACCTTGAGCCAGCGAAATGTCTGCACTTGGAGCATCTTCAGCAAGAAGAACTGTAGTCGAGAATGGAGGCGTCCGCGGTTGGAAAACAAGTTGTGGGAGCGTATAAGAAGGAGCAGGAGCAAGACAGGATTCGCCCGAGATGGCAGATGTGAAGGTCCCGGGAATGATAGTAGTAGTAGATGGTTGTTGCGACTGGGCACGGAGAAGTGGATCTATCACATCATCTTCTGGTGGAGACGAAGTGCTCATACCGACCGTAGACTCACCCTGTGCCGCTTGTGAATTCAACCTTTCAGAGGTGTTCATCGCAACATCGTCTTCTCCTTGTCCGTCACCTGCACACACTTCGTTGCCCTCTCGTAAGATGACATTCATCGCTTTGAGCGTAGGCACATCCAATTCTCGGAGCAGGTCTTCTACTTCCCATTCCTCCTGCTTGTCCTTCAACCAGATATTGAGCTCCTTCTTCCTCTTCCGCTCACCTTCTCGATCACGTTCATCCGCTATTCGACCGTCTCCTCTCTTGGCGCGAGTCGTGAGTTTTCGAACTCGAATCTCTTCAGCTCGTGCATCTTGCACGATCTTTTCGTCTAGCTCAGGCTCAATAGAAGCAATTTCTAAAGCCTTCTGCTCCTCGAGTGCAATCCAATCATTAGACACCTCCATTGCTGCAGGTAGGTCTTTCCGTTTCACTCCAGCCGCTTCTTGGGCTCCGCGCTCCAATAAATCGAGATAGACGCAAACATCCGTCGCCGACTTCGTCTTAACCTCTTCGGCTATGAGATCGGGTCTAAATCGTGAATGAACAGATAGTCCATGAAAGAATGCTTCCTTGTCCTCGCAAGTCCAGTACGCGCACGGAGCGAAGACAGAAGGGGACAAGGGTCCAGAGCCATCCTTTCCGGCGAGATGAGAGCGCACATGACTGAGATATTCCGAAAAATGGGAAAGATAGTTTGAGTCAACTGAACTTCTGGATTTGTCGGAACGCTGTTCTGCGCGGGGCGCGACACCCGACATGTAATGAAGACCTGGAAGGAGTTCAAACTCACTGGGATGCGCAATCATGTGATAAGTACAGCCGATCTCCATATTTTCAATTAGGCAATTGTAGAGTTCAAACTCACGCCACTTTACCGTTGCTTGCAGTTCGCACTACCTCGAGGAGTCCACTATGACGAGGGTCTACTGCGGGGCTGATTCACTTGGACGAGGCTGGACGCGGTGCCTTTCAATCGGATGATGACATAGTTCGTCCATGAATGGAACTCTGACCTCTCCGTCTGTGAAGTGCTGCATAACAGGATCGCCCCATACGTATCACGCCTCTTTCTGTCATCGATGGGAGCATTGCATCATGAGGAAAAGAAGTACCCTCTTTACACAAATGGTATAAATACGGAGGCTTGGATTGCTGACATCCTCAGAGTTCGAACACATCACACCATTCACATCTCACACAACCGTTATTCCATCACATCATGGATACTTACGGCGACCGACGCGACCGAGACTTTAACGATGGTCGTATGTGTCCTATTTTACAATCTTATTCATGTGTTTCATTGTGTTGTAACAGCCTTCAATGAGGGTGATCAGGGCTTCAATGACCAAGGCTTCCAGGAGACAACTGTCCAAGACCAGAGCTTTCAGGAGCAAAGCTTTCAAGGACAACAAGGAGGTTACGGAGCCGACTTTGGTAACACCGACCAACAGGGCGATTACAACGCATACGGGACTGGCCCTCAGGGTGGTGATGTAGGCTACGACCAAGACAATATAGGATACCAGGGTGGCGGAAAGCCATCAATCGGTCAAAAGATTAAGGGTGAGAGGAATGAAACTTGACGACGACATATACGACGCTGAACATGACGGCGTAGGCGAACTGGAAGAAGTAGCTGGTAAGCTCACCCGGAATCCTGGGAAGGTAGAGCGCGGTAAGGAAGAAAAGGTTTGTGGGACTTTGCAGACCGCTTTGTTTTGAATATTGATTCATTACGCTGTGTACAGGCCGGCTGGTGAATTCAGTATCTTCTCACAAGCGATAAGATTCGAAGTCGTCTGGCTATACCTATACCAGTCTTTGTATCTGTACCATTATAGCGGCACTACAATTCAGAATTAAGCGCAAATTGATATATGGTCAGGCTGTCCTGTCATATGGACTTGCGATATTGTTACTATGCACGCCAGCGAGAGTCATCCGTGCCGAGGGGCCTCAGCTGTCATGAGTATACTTAAGTCAGGATAGAATCTACGGGACTTGATGTCGTCTTGAATCCCAATGAACTCACGTCGTGGCGTTTGACTCAAATCAGCTGTTATCTGCTGGCGTTTGCACTAATGATGGAAACATTCAATCACAACGCAAATGCAAGTATCGACGGTTCGACCACGATGATGGCACTACTAACTTCAGTCCGAGGAACGCGGTAGAAGAGGATGTATGTATGCAATATTTTATTCACAAATCGTGGAGATGGCCACGCGAGCGATGCGTGGACTCGAAGTCAATACTGTAGTGATCGTTTAACGATCCAACAGCCAAGCGTTGTACGGCTTGGTCGGGTTGGCAGTACTAGTAATGCAGCTTGACTGGCCCGACTGCCGGCAACATCAGCGCTACCTGAATGAGCGCGTTCCGATTGGTGCTGCGGTGATCAGATCAAACGGCCCTCGCAGTGGTCAAGCAGTGATCGTAGTAACCGCGTAGTACCAATTCTAATATCCATGGCATTGACAAGCAGCCTGCACCCGGGCTTCTTTTTCGCTCCTACTGCGGAGAGACCAGGGGTCACTCCTCTACACTCCTCGATGCTTTTGATTTTTTCCTGCGCCGGTCGCATTTTATTCTGCTCCTAATTCATTGGGATGTTCACAGCTACCTTGGGGATTTTGGCACTCATTTTCTTTCCCCATTTTATTTCAACAGCACCAGTGCCGCTTTCGCGAGACGGGGACACCGCAAGTGTAAAGCAGAGTCAGCAGCGGAGGGGATTTGTTCTGCCCTTGCAGCGTCGTAAGGTGGAACAGCGCAATGTGAAGGAGCTACTTGCTGGGTCGATCGGACTGGGCGATTTTGCTGACATGTACGTCAGCGATGCTACCATTTACTGTAACGTTGTGCGTGAACGTGTGTTAGAGTCTACACGGTTTCGGCTCAAATTGGGAATACGACAACAGCTCTCAATTTAGGTAGGTCCTTGTTGGTGGACAGTTGGACGTGCCCGTCTGATTATCATCTACAGACACAGGATCGAGCGACCTGTGGGTAATGACCGGTGCTTGTCAGACTACCCTCTGCTCGAAATCGACGGCCACGGCATATTCTCCTTCAAACTTTCAACCAATAGGTGTCGATGTCAATTTGACGTATGGGGACTCATCATCTGGAACATACGCTGCGGGCCCTGTAGGTCTGGATACCGTAACACTCGCCGGACTTAGTCTGGCGAACCAACCATTCGCCGCAGTTAATAACACGGACAACTCCGCTGTATCGAATGGAGGTGCGGGGATCATAGGACTAGGTTTTCCCAGTGAGAGGTATGTTGACGGTGACAGTACAACGGTCTAGTCGTAGTCTTATATTCATGTATAGTGTTATCCAGACACAGGTTATTCAGAAGCAGGTGGGCACCCATTTCTCATTTAAGTGTTCGATTCCTGACTTGATATTTAGTTCAATGACCCTTCGACCACTGATGACTTTGTTTCCAACATCGCCTCGTATGGCCCATTCGTATCTCGCCTGGTAGTGGATGGTATAATTGACCAACCTCTATTTTCTGTGAGTCTTGAATGTTCTTCAATACTTCAATAGCTGGAAGTGGGCGCGTAGGTCACTTTGCAACGGGATACCATCGACCCTAGCGGCAACGGAAGAATCACAGTTGGAGAACTTCCAAGTGGAGTTGACAACTCATCCATTACCTGGGTCCCCGTAAGACCTTACACACCGGCAGAAGGTGGGCTTAATCCACCCTCTTTTGCTGCTGACGAGGTCTACCCTCTGTAAGGTTTTATTCACACTCATGAGCACATTGCTTACATGTTCTCTCCAGCCGTTGGGAGATTCCCATTGACAACGTGTATCTAGATGGGAAGCAGCTTCCGAATTCAACTATTCCACGCAATGGCGTATCGCCATCTTTTTCCTCCGCCCTCATAGACACAGTGCGTCTTTAAAGTGCCATGCTCTGACGCCTTTTTGATTGACACTAAAATTCAGGGCAATTCCATCATACGAGGACCCCAGGATGTCGTTAGTAACATCCTGAGCACCATATCCCCGGCCTATGCAGCAAACTCCGACGCCAAGCCAATCCTTCCATGTGCCAGTTCACATACCCTGGCTTTCCAAATCGGCGGCGAGATGTTCCCTGTCGATCCCCTCGACCTCATATCGCAGAACCAAACAGAAAACGCGTCAGAGTGCGTCGCAAGCAGCGTCGTGCCGACCGATCCCCCCAGCTACGGCGCGCTATTCAGCTGGAGTCTTGGCGATCCGTTTCTCAAGTCGAACCTGGTGATATTCTACTACGGCAACTTGACACACCCCTCTGTCGATCCTCCGCGTATCGGTTTCCTTTCCATGGTGCCGAGTAACGCGTCATCTGTCCTCCAGGAAGTCGTTTCGGAGGCCGTTCAGCATGGCGGGGTTTTCTCATGTGAGTCGTCCCGACTTGCGACTTGCCATGGCACAATTGGTGGTGTTTATGCTAATGTCTCACAGCCGAAACGCAAGCGGCACCTACATCCAGTACCTTGACGGCAATTCCTGCATCCGCCTACACGTCTGCTCCAACCGCGGCGCATAGTATAGTACCGTTGGATAGATCTTCAACCAGCCATACGTCGTCAGCCTGGTCTTCGCGCCCATATTCTCGCTATGACATCTCCCTCAGTGTTGTACCACTGCTGTATTTATTTTCCTGGTTAGCATGAATGAACCAGCTGTTACATTCCTCTGAATATCAAGATTGTCGAATGAGATACGATAAGTATAAATGCGAAACGAAGGAGCACCGGCATTCCAACATGTGCCACTGAAAAGTAAGGGGTATAAGTCATAGTCGGCAGACGAAAGCACGCGCCCGATAAAGCAGCCCTCAGTTTTGCTTGGCGATCTCTATCATTTTGGTCTCCGCCTCTTGCTCCACCCACTTATTCTCTTGCCTGCGAATGCGTGCGAGCTCTTTGACCAGCTTCCCCACTTCCCCCCACAGCTCTGACTCGGCCGGGCTAAGCTCGTCTTCCTCGATGTTTTCCTGGACTTCCGTTCGAGACCAGACCGTACTAAGCAGGCGCAGTCGGGGGAAAATGTCCGCGAGGTACGTGGCGAGCACGATCCTGTCGCCAGGCGTGACCCTCTCCAGGATCGACGTGCCCACCGAGAAGGCCCAGACGTTCCCGTTGCTGTATCCTCCGCTGGGCCGCGGCTCCTCTTCGGTCGCCCTGACCTCCGAAACGTCCGTGCTGACCGCAATCCCAAGCATCTGCAAATCAGGACAGTGCCGCACGAGCGGTATGAGGCCCTTGAGGGTCACTTCCGGTTCGCCCGTGTACCGCCGCCACTGAACCCCGAGATCCAGCGTTTGCAGCCGCGGCCACGCCTTTGCCAGGTCCTGCACGAACGCATTGTCGACCACCATAGGGCGCCGCACGCCGATCTTGCATTCGTGGATGGACGGAAGGGCTAGATAAGGCCGCAGACTGTCGCCCGTGATAAAAGGCTCTTCGTGCTCGCGGGGGATGCTCGTCCCGCACCCGAAAGTGAGCGAGCCGATGACAGCCTTCGAGGGGTGCTTGCCGAGCCGCCTCCCGAACTCTTCCATCTCGGTAGCAGAGGGGGAGAACGCCGTGACGGTGTAGATGCTCAGCAGTTTCGGGGACTTCACGGCGTCGATGAACATGCTGGCTGCGGTCAAGATATCCGCATAGATGACCAGCTGACGGAGAGACGGGAACGTGAGGTCTGAGCCCTGGAGCATCGTGTGCAGCGCGGATCCGATGCCGCCGTACCGGTCGGCACGGATAGTGAGTTTTTCTAATGAAGTCAGGCCGGAAATGTGGAGCATAGACTCGCGCAGCATCAGGGTATCGATATGTTGGTAGAGGTAGACACTGCGGAGTCGCTTGTGCCGGAGAACGATGTTCGATATCATGTCCGAAAGCGGCGAGGTCCATGGGCAGGTAAATGTGAGATCCTCGAGGAAGGTACAGTTGTCGTTGAACTGACCCAGCGCGGCTTCCAACCTCGCGACCAGAATATCATCGTTCAAGGGTTCCATAAGGTGGATGGACATATTGGACACCTTCGGATGGATGAGAAGGAGCAGGTGGTCGACCTCGTGGACCGCGTTCGCGTCGCCCTGTTTCCACTCAAATAGGCGCAGATTGCTGAAGAAATGGCCGGAGGGACGGTAGTCGCACAGGATGCTGTACGTGCGCGGGTCGACGCGCTGCAACTCGACTACCGGAGGGCATTGGGGGTAATGTCGCCCGATACACTTGATCCGCGAGGCGTAATGCAAAAATCTCGACCATTCTTCGAGTTCGGGGGCCCTCTTTAGACTCTAGCAGAGTGTCACCCGAACTCAACCCGATTCGAATACGACGCCTGCGCTCACCACAATGTTATATCCATCCGATGCCGCTTCCTGGTCCACTATATCGCTGGGGAATAGCTTGACTAGAGGCACCAAGTTTATCTGTGAGCTCCAGAGAATGTCGAGCGCAACCGGGCTGAAAAGACGGCAGGTGCCCGCGAGAGCTGCAAGAGCCGCAGAACCTTGCACCGCATCCTGGAATATCCATTCGAAGAGTATGCCCAGAAGCTCTGGAACTGTCAGACAATTGTGCATGTTCCAGCCCCAATTTTTTTAAATCAGGAAGTTGTGTTGAAGATACAAACCCAGCTTGAGTAGACCTGCGAGACGGAACATCAGATCACAATGTCATCCGTTAAACCGGCTAGCCACCTACAAATTCAGCAGGATTTTCCTGAGTCTACTCTATGACCACAGAATGGTGCTCGACGTAAAGGTCGAGGGCGAGAGACCCAAACACATACAGTGTCAGTGAACATCACGATAGCGGGAGGTCGATATGGCCGGGTGTGACACCGAACCGCGCGCCGTGACGCGTCTTCAGAATCATAGCTGGTGGCTGCGACTCAATTTGTTCGCGGCCGACTCGATATTTGAAACAGAAATCAAACAACCTACATGAACACGACATTCACACCTCGCGAGAGGAGCTCGCGCTTAGGAACAACACGTCTCGAGCGAACTCTGAGGGAGCACACCAGAGAATCCCGAGCTAGTGTGCTTGACAGACGGAATGTCGATTCAACAAGAAGGCGATACATGCACAGTGGCTAATGTTGCTCTACAATCGTATGATCTCTATTCTCTAGAAGAGTAATCCGTTTCCGAGATTGTCGTGACGAGTCAGGTGCGATTGAACTGTTCGCGTCGATCTCTGGAAGTACTTATCGCTTGAATGGCCCGTTGTCCAGCTTCTCTTACTACACTACAAACGTAGCCCATTCTCGTGGCTCCATCGTTGCGAAATACGGTGGAAAGAGGGTCATCACGAACCAATGTATGGCCTCCCAACGCGGCCTCCAAAGGCGGAAACGGGGCACAGAAGGCAACGCGGCAGGCATATCGCGCGCAGGCCGGTCCGCGCAGCTGCATCTTCGCCGTGTCGGTGCGCCATTCGACGGCTGCATCCAGGTCGCTGTGCGGATGCGCGGGGGCGGGCCGTCATCCGCGAGCCCGCTTCCGTGCGCCCTTCATCCTACTGTATCGTAGGGCCGATCAAGGACCGATATGCGAGCAGCCACAGCCCAGGCCCGCGGCGTCGCGGGCGACGAACGAGCCTAAACTGCTGCCGCTTCTCCGGCTCGCGTTTCCGCCCAAAGTCGCGACGATCACCGGGGCCAATGGCGTCGCGCGGGTATTACTGCCCCACCGATGAGGCAAAGCCGTGCATCGAAGGGCGAGGACATGCGCAACATGGCGCAACATGCCCTACAGCGGCCCCCGTCGCCCGAGTCTGGGGTCGTGGCGACGCTGGTGAGAAGCTCGACTCGCTGGATCGCCAGAGACCGGGTGGGGTTCGGTGGGGAGGGGCGCGTGTCGTTAGCAGGTGTGCGTGGTGGCTCAGAGTCAGTGGGCTGCGCCACGTACCTAACTAATCGCGCACGCATTGGCTGCAGAGGACAATGTCCGGCATCCCAGGATACTCCTGTATTTCTCTCGTCGTGGTCCAGCGCGGATATCGGGGCAAGGAACGTCTGCCTCCACCGTACTTCAGCCTGGTCCGTATGCATCGAGTCATCCGGAACACCCACCGACCTGAGATGATCCATCCATCACGGCGAGAACTGATACAGATGGATTCTGACTGGGCAGCCAAGGCGACGCATCCCATCAGACGTCAACGATGACTCGCACAGATCTGGCAAAGTTCAGCATCACCCCTTGGTTCAATGTGCGTCGGGGCCATTGCCCACATCACGCCACCAGGGATTCAGGTATTCATCAGCCGGGGCACACTGCGAAGAGCCAGCGCGGATCGAGGGATCAGTCATGGCGCTCCAAGGGGGCAGAGACGTGCGGGTGAGGACACCCGGGCCCGAGAGTCTCCAGCTCGCAGACCAATGGGAGCCCTCCTCGGGTGCAGTGGGCGTGTCCTGCTGAATCCCGATCCGCCTCGGTCGCATTGGCACGGAGACCACGGCGCGCACCGGTTAGGCAAGAAAACAGACTGGCTACAGAGAGGCGTAATGTCGGCGAAACGAATCGTGCCCAACCCCCCCCCC